CCAGCCACGTTTCATCTTCAATGCCCTTGCTGATGGAAGGAGGTTTTCACTCAATATCTCACGATACATGGCCCCATTCATTCTTTCCTTTACACGGATCAGTCTTCCTGGTCCCTTTGCAGAAAAACAGCCCCAAAGCACCATACCTACATGCTTCACAGTAGGTATGGTGTTCTTTGGATGCAACTTAGCATTCTTTGTCCTCCAAACACGACGAGTTGAGTTTTTACCAAAAAGTTATATTTTGGTTTCATCTGACCATATGACATTCTCCCAATCCTCTTCTGGATCATCCAAATGCACTCTAGCAAACTTCAGACAGGCCTGGACATGTACTGGCTTAAGCAGGGGGACACGTCTGGCACTGCAGGATTTGAGTCCCTGGCGGCGTAGTGCGTAGGCTTTGTTACTTTGGTCCCAGCTCTCTGCAGGTCATTCACTAGGTCCCCCCGTGTGGTTCTGGGATTTTTGCTCACCGTTCTTGTGATCATTTTGACCCCACGGGGTGAGATCTTGCGTGGAGCCCCAGATCGAGGGAGATTATCAGTGGTCTTGTATGTCTTCCATTTCCTAATAATTGCTCCCACAGTTGATTTCTTCAAACCAAGCTGCTTACCTATTGCAGATTCAGTCTTCCCAGCCTGGTGCAGGTCTACAATTTTGTTTCTGGTGTCCTTTGACAGCTCTTTGGTCTTGGCCATAGTGGAGTTTGGAGTGTGACTGTTTGAGGTTGTGGACAGGTGTCTTTTATACTGATAACAAGTTCAAACAGGTGCCATTAATACAGGTAACGAGTGGAGGACAGAGGAGCCTCTTAAAGAAGAAGTTACAGGTCTGTGAGAGCCAGAAATCTTGCTTGTTTGTAGGTGACCAAATACTTATTTTCCACCATAATTTGCAAATAAATTCATAAAAAATCCTACAATGTGATTTTCTGGATTTTTTTTTCTAAATTCATCTGTCATAGTTGACGTGTACCTATGATGAAAATTACAGGCCTCTCTCATCTTTTTAAGTGGGAGAACTTGCACAATTGGTGGCTGACTAAATACTTTTTTTCCCCACTGTACATACTATATACATTTTACGGACACAGTGTATTTTACATGAGTTATCTTTTGTTTGTTTTTAGTCCCATCCTTCAGCTACCCTCAACCACTCCCATCTATCTCTGAACAGTATTCAGTTTTGATTTCTATTTGCAATATATATTTTTTTGTGATGTTTCATAAAAGTTCTGAACCCATATACATTTTACAGACACAGCATATTTTACATTAGTTATCTTGTTATTTTTAGTCCCACCCTTCAGCTCCACTCAACCCCTCCCATCTATTTCTATTTGCCATATATTTTTCAACTGTGCTGTGATGTTTCACAAAAGTTCTAAACCTTTCTATTATCATAGTTTCTACAGATTGTAAATTAAAGATCAACATTTTGTCTAAGAGTATTATTATATTATTGATCGATTGACTACGACTTTTCAAATCACCCAGCAGTGCTATTTGCAGAGATAGCTCCAGGTAAATGTTGCAATTATTTTTAAACATTTAAACATTCTTCTTCAGCCATTCCTGAACCTGCGACCAAAAACAAGCTACATATGGACAGTACCAAAACAAATAATCTAATGATTCTGTCTCTTCGCAGCAAAATAACTGAAAATGAGAGGTTGTAATCTGAATAAAGGGAAAAAGATTGTGTGCACAAATTTGTTTACATCCCTGTTAGTGAACATTTCTCCTTTGCCAAGATATGCCACACCCGTCAAGTGGATGGATTATCAAGAAGCTGATTAAACAGCATGATCATTACACAGGTGCTCCTTATGCTGGTTATGTGAAATCCATAGATTAGGGCCTTATGAATTTATTTCAATTGACTGATTTCCTTATATGAACTGTAACTCAGTAAAATTGTTGAAATTGTTGCATTTTGTGTTTAGATTTTTGTAGATAGAAAAATAATTTGGTGCTTTTTCCCCATATTCCATCCAGTTCGCTTATTTTTTAAATAATATATTACATTAGATCTTTCTTGAATAAGTTCCTCCATTTCTTTTTGTTTTTCCTCTAACTTTCTGTGCCTCTATGGTACTGTTTTTATTACTATCTTTCTGTACTGTTAGTCCCTCTATTTCCTTTGTTAATATGAACTCTTTTGACCTAAATTGCTTTTGTTTTAAAGATGAGTATTGAATTGCATGGCCTCTAAAGGCACATTTAAAAGTGTCCAATACAATAAGGGAATCTGCTGTACCTATGTTATGTCAGTTATAAATTCTTCTGTCCTGGTTAAAAACAAGTTGTCATTCAATAGGCTTTGATTACATTTCCAATATCCTTGCCTACGTGGAAATTCTGTAAGAGTAATGTATATGCCAATTATTTGATGGTCCGACTACATTCTGTCCCCTATCAACACTTTTTAAACGTTTGGTGCCAGCGAGAATGACATATGACAAATAAAGTTGGATTTGATTTGATAAAAAAGTATTCAAGACGACAAGCTTGATTGATCCTCTGAAATGTACAGTGCCTTTGGAAAGTATTCAGACCCCTTGACTTTTTCCACATTCTGTTAAGTTACAGCCTTATTCTAAAATTGATTAAATAAACAAAAATCCTCAGCAATCTACACACAATACCCCATAATGACAAAGTGAAAACAGGTTTTTATAAATGTTTGCAAATTTATACCCCCCCAAAAATCAGAACCTTTGCTATGAGACTCGAAATTGAACTCAGATGCATCCTGTTTCCATTGATCATCCTTGAGATGTTTCTATAACTTGATTGGAGTCCACCTGTGGTAAATTCAATTGATTGGACATGATTTGGAAAGGCACACACCTGTCTATATAAGGTCCCACAGTTGACAGTGCATGTCAGAGCAAAAACCAAGCCATGGGGTCGAAGGAATTGTCCGTAGAGCTCTGAGACAGGATTGTGTCGAGGCACAGATCTGAGGAAGGGTACCAAAAAATGTCTGCAGCATTGAAGGTCTCCAATAATACAATGGCCTCCATCATTCTTAAATGGATGAAGTTTGGAATCACCAAGACTCTTCCTAGAGCTGGCCGCCCGGCCAAACTGAGCAATCGGGGGAGAAGGGCCCAAGAACCCAATGGTCACTCCAGAGTTCCTCTGTGGAGATGGGAGAACCTTCCAGAAGGACAACCATCTCTGTAGCACTCCACCAATCAGGCCTTTATGGTAGAGTGGCCAGACGCAAGCCACTCCTCAGTAAAAGGCACATGACAGCCCGCTTGGAGTTTGCCAAAAGGCACCTAAAGCACTCTTCGACCATGAGAAACAAGATTCTCTGGTCTGATGAAACCAAGATTGAACTCTTTGGCCTGAATGCTAAGCGTCACGTCTGGAGGAAACCTGTTACCATCCCTACGGTGAAGCATGGTGGTGGCTGCATCATGCTGTGGGGATGTTTTTCAGCGGCAGGGACTGGGAAAGTAGTCAGGATCGAGGGAAAGATGAACGGAGCAAAGTACAGAGAGAGATCCTTGATGAAAACCTGCTCAGGACCTCACATTGGGGCGAAGGTTCACCTTCCAACAGGCAAACGACCCTAAGCACACAGCCAAGACAACGCAGGAGTGGCTTCGGGACAAGTCTCTGAATGTCATTTAGTGGCCCAGCCAGAGCCCGGACTTGAACCCGATCTAACATCTCTGGAGAGACCTGAAAATAGCTGTGCAGCGACGCTCCCCATCCAAACTGACAGAGCTTGAGAGGATCTGCAGAGAAGAGTGGGAGAAACTCTCCAGATACAGGTGTGCCAAGCTTGTAGCATCATACCCAAGAAGACTCAATGCTGTAATCGCTGCCAAAGGTGCTTCAACAAAGTTTCTGAGTGAAGGGTCTGAATACTTATGTAAATGTGATATTTCCGTTCTTATTTTTTTTAAAATTATATATATATATATATATAAAACAGTTTTTGCTTTATCATTATTGGGTATTGTGTGTAGATTGAAGAGGAAAATAAACAATTTAATCAATTTTAGAATAAGGCTGTAACGTAACAAAATGTGGAAAAAGTAAAGGGGTCTGAATACTTTCTGAAGGTACTGTATATCTTACTAGGTCAGGATATTTAAGCTTCCATATATCCACTAGTTCCAATAATATCCATGATATTCGTGATTTCCTTTACGGTCCATTGAGGTAAACTTTGTTTTCCTACTTTGTGGTTAACGTGTGAAACTAAATATTGCCACCACTCTGTCCTCCAACACATTGGCCCACTGGGACAACACACACGCATGCACACACACACGCAACCGTCCCCCCCCCCCCCCCCCCACACACACACATCTAATGTACCAGCCACATTCATTTTTCATGGAAACCCAGTTTTTAGTTCTAGGCTGTTCTGAGCTGAGGAACCCAACACATTCCCTTCAGACTGTGTTTCTTTGATGTTTAGACTGACTTAGTAGCCTAGTGGAAACGCTGGCTGTTCCCAGTGACTTAGAGCTACGGAACACTACTCCTCTGAGTTTTCCATGACCCACTCCACATGCTAGTTAATCAAAGTGGCTGGAAGGGAACTTTCAAACATGGAGTCCAAGTGAGCTGTGAGCACATCCAAGAAGTCAGATACCGGTCAAACTGAGGATTGTTGCCATGTGTTGATGGCTTCGACCTGTGCTCATCTAAGGGAGGTGGTTCGGTGAACCACATTTGCATGATGAGTAACCTTGCCTGAGACCTGAAGACTTGTGTTATCTCCCCGAGCTAATGCCTAGGCTTTAGCTCAGCGGGTTAACACAGTATTAACTCACAGTATAAAGACAGTGTAAAGCAGCAATACACTGTCATACAAAAATGATGTCCTTGACATCTTCTTGACATCTGCTTTATTCAACTCACATAACCCTGAACATCTGGAATATCTGTCAAACAAAACACCAGTCCACCCTAACTGTAAGGTGACCAATGAATAATCTTACCTCTGACTCCCTGTGTGATTAATCTACCAGGGAATGACCCCTCTGATGTACTCCTGTGTGAGAGGGGATGAAGCCATGGTCCAGATGCTGCTTGACGCTGGAGCCGACATCAACAGTGAGGTCAGTGATGATGACAACACAATGTTGTGTAGAATGATTTGTGTGTAGCCTGATCCCAGATCTGTTTGTGCTGTCTTGCCAACTCATCTGGTCATTTTGATGTTGTGACAAGACAGCACAAATATATCTGGGATCAGGCTAATTTATGTGGTGTGAGACAAGAGAAAACCCAGGTTGTGTTGTCCCTCATCTGTCCCCACTCCTCCTCTCCTGTTGCCATGCTGTCTGTATAGTGTGTAAAAGGTCATTATTATGAGGCACGGGCCACCATACTGTTTACTATACAAAATATAATTAAACACAATTTACAATGTAATTACACAGATACAACTGTAAGCTCACCTTTTAGCTGTACCTTTGATACGAAGAATGATAAAGAGAACGTTAAATACTGTACTAATATTTTTGAGTCATTTCTCAAGGAGCCCCTGGTAAGCTTAGGGGGTTCTTTGGTTGTAGCCTACTTACATGTAATGGTGACCTATGCCTGTTGGTCCTAGCCTTGGCTAATCACCTCATGCATGTGTAACCCACCAGCCATCACGCCAGAGTTCATGTCAGCTATAATAGTGATAAACCCCAGAACAAAGTACTCAACACAACATCCCATGAGGCTGAAAACTCGTTATTTTGACAGCTCATTATCATGCTCATTATCATACTCATTATCATCGCAGTGAGGTCATAACTTTTTGTTAATGCAGCAATGATTCATCTCAATAAAGTTAAATGGAGCATGTGACTGATTTGATTGATTAGGAAGTTTGTTGCTTCCAGTTTTTCCAGTATTTCTGAAGCACACACACACCAGTCAAATAGATTAAACATTAATTAAAAATGTTACTTCTGCCTCTGTGTATCCTCAGAGTAATTAAGGAAAAGTTAATTAAAGTAAAGTAAATTTGAGGAAAGTAAATTAGAGAAAAGTTTGAAACGAGTCTCTTTGCTTCAGAGGCTCTGTGAGATTCTCGAGGGAATATGAGTTTGTGTGCTTCGTTCACGGGTCTCTGCTCACAGCCTCACATTCATGTGCTCCCAGTTGGTGTCTCAGCCCCTAACTGACTGTCTGCCTGAGAGGAGATGTTGTCTAGTTACTGAGGTCACCTTAGGTCAGCCTTGGACTCAGAGTCACGTCTATCCCTGCCAGACAGACCAGGGCTGGAACAGAGTGGAAAGTTTAAAGTATCAAAGAGGACTACAGGACTAAGCGGGACAAGACAGAACTAGACAGAACTAGACAGAACTAGACAGAACTAGATGGAATCTATTGAGTTGGTTAGAAACAAGTCAGGCTATTGTGTGCAGGATGTCCGCTTTTGCTAGTTACCTCAGGGTCGTATTCATTAGAGCAAGCAACAGACAACATTTTTGAAAGGTTTCCCAATGGAAAACAGAAATGAAAGTTTCTTATTGGACAAGTCCAAGTAAGCCTTCCTGTTTCAGTATGTTTTATTCTGTTTGGTGCCTAATGAATACGACCAAGCTCTCCTTTAGATTCCACCCTTTAGCTGCTTGTCTTTGCTGCATAGACTAGCATTTTAATGGCTTTATATCTCTCTCCCCTGAACCTCCCCAATGACTTCCCAGGTGCCAAACACAGTGCACAAGCACCCCTCAGTCAACCCCGAAACGCGTCTGGGGACACCACTCACTTTCGCCGTGTTACACGGACATGTCCCTGTCGTGCAGGTAGTGACGTCATCCTTTTTCACCTCACTGTGTTTTATGTCTGTTCACCTCTCATTGTGTCATGCAGGGTGGCGGTTAATTCAGGAAATTCAGAAAATTCAGGAAGTTAACAAAAAATAAAATAATTTGAAAAGCATTGAGAAAAATTGGAATTGGAAGTTTGGCTTACTTCCTGAATTGACTGAATTGAAATGGAATTGACCCCAATCCTGGTGTCATGGTTATTATTATCATGACTTGTAAATGGTAATAATAACGGCTAAAATGTGTTTTCTCCTTAATCCTAAGTATGTTGTCTCTATTGAATGTTATTGAATGCTGAGTGAACTGAGCTTGAAAACTCAATGGAAACTGGTTAAAATGGAAACACTCAATACATTTAGGAGTGTTTGTCCCATTTTATTGTCAGAGAAGTACGAGCTGATTCTCTACTTCCTCCTTTCAGTGTGCACGTGGCACACACTGCATTAACCTAGTGGAAACAGGACAATCTGTTTGTCCCCGTTGCTAATGGTTATCAAGCACAATGGACCAACATCGCAATGATTTTTCCACTGAACTGCTAGAACTAATTAGTTCTACATCTCAGATGAAAAGGTGTAGCAGCACTTTTTCCACAGCCTCATGGAGGGTTTTCTGGAAGGACATGGAAATCACATGGGCTGAAAGCAGAAAAACACCATTTGTGGTTGAATAAATGCACATTTAGTTTTTGGGGTAGAACCCTCCCTAAGCTGCCTCACCCCTGCCCTCCATAGCTGCTCCTGGATGCCCGGGCAAACGTAGAGGGCTCCCTACAGGATGGCATGGAGAACTACACAGAGACCCCACTACAGCTGGCCTCCGCTGCAGGTACACTACTGGAATAGCAAGTTGCCTTTTTCTCTAGAAGATCTAGCATACACATGCACACACACACAGACACCTAGCAGGTATAGGCACACTAGCGGAGATGTTCACACATAAACACACACCTACAGCCTCATGCCCACATTCATGGATAGACACACACATGCACTCAACATCAGCAATAAACCACCTTCATACACACATTTTCAGCTCAACTTGACCCTCAACTAATGTATTTACCTCTTCCCCAGGTAACTTTGAGCTGGTCAGTTTGCTGTTGGAGAGAGGAGCAGACCCCATGGTGGGAACCGTGTATCGTAACGGCATCTCTACTGCCCCTCAGGGAGACATGAACTCCTACAGTCTAGCTGCAGCACACGGACACAGGTAACACTCACTACACTCACAACACACGACGTGAGTAAGAAACTATAGGTAGAGAGAAAACATCTCTCTCTCTCTCTCTCTCTCTCTCTCTCTCTCTCTCTCTCTCTCTCTCTCTCTCTCTCTCTCTCGCATGCGTACGTGCGAACACACACACCCCCCCTCCCACACACACACGTCACCATACATTTAACATCATCAATGCATTATCACTACATTATCACCACTATCACTACTATCACATATCTCTGTCTGCTATCCTCCCTGTAAAGGAACGTGTTCCGTAAGCTGCTGTCCCAGACAGAGAAGGGGAAAGGGGACGTGCTGTCTCTGGAGGAGATCCTTGCCGAGGGGACAGAGGAAGAGAGGGGCCTGGAGGAGAGGAACCCCTCCCAGCTGGACCTGGTCCGGACAGGCAAGGCCAAGCTCAAGGCCCTGAAAGAGGCCATGTACCACAGCTCTGAACACGGACACGTGGATATCACCATTGACATACGCAGCCTGGGTTAGTACATACTTTAGTAACACTTTATTGGGATAGTCCATCTACAGTATATAGAGTGCCTTGCAAAAGTATTCATCCCCTTTGGTGTTTTTCCTATTTTGTTGCATTACAACCTATAATTTAAATGGATTTTTATTTGGAGTTCATGTAATGGACATACACAAAATAGTCAAAATTGGTGAAATTATTTTTTAAATAATTTTTTTATTATAAATAATAAATAACGGAAAAGTGGTGCGTGCATATGTATTCACCCCCTTTGCTATGAAGCCCCTAAATAAGATCTGGTGCAATCAATTACCTTCAGAAGTCACATAATTAGTTAAATAAAGTCCACCTGTGTCAATCTAAGTGTCACATGATCTGTCACATGATCTCAGTATATATACACCTGTTCTGAAAGGCCCCAGAGTCTGCAACACCACTAAGCAAGGGGCACCACCAAGCAAGCGGCACCATGAAGACCAAGGAGCTCTCCAAACAGGTCAGGGACAAAGTTGTGAAGAAGTACAGATCAAGGTTGGGTTAAAAAAAAATATCTGAAACTTTGAACATCCCCAGAGCACCATTAAATCCATTATAAAAAAATTGAAAGAATATTGCACCAAAACAAACCTGCCAAGAGAGGGCCGCCCACCAAAACTCACAGACCAGGCAAGGAGGGCATTAATCAGAGAAGCAACAAAGAGACCAAAGATAACCCTGAAGGAGCTGCAAAGCTCCACAGCGGAGATTGGAGGGCTTTATGGATTGGGCTTTATGGAAGAGTGGCCAGAAAAAAGCCATTGCTTAAAGAAAAAAATATGCAAACACGTTTGGTGTTCGCCAAAAGCCACGTGGGAGACTCCCTAAACATATGGAAGAAGGTACTCTGGTCAGATTAGACTAAAACTGAGTTTTTTGGCCATCAAGGAAAACGCTATGTCTGGCACAAACCCAACACCTCTCATCACCCCGAGAACACCATCCCCACAGTAAAGCATGGTGGTGGCAGCATCATGCTGTGGGGATGTTTTTCATCGGCAGGGACTGGGAAACTGGTCAGAATTGAAGGAATTATGGATGGCGCTAAATACAGGGAAATTCTTGAGGGAAACCTGTTTCAGTCTTCCAGAGATTTACATTTATTTGAGACTGGGACGGAGGTTCACCTTCCAGCAGGACAATGACCCTAAGCATACTGCTAAAGCAACACTCAAGTGGTTTAAGGGGAAACATTTAAATATCTTGGAATGGCCTAGTCAAAGCCCAGACCTCAATCCAATTGAAAATCTGTGGTATGACTTAAAGATTGCTGTACACCAGCGGAACCCATCGAACTTGAAGGAGATGGAGCAGTTTTTCCTTGAAAAATTGACAAAAATCCCAGTGGCTAGATGTGCCAAGCTTATAGAGACATACCCCAAGAGACTCGCAGCTGTAATTGCTGCAAAAGGTGGCACTACAAAGTATTGAATAGTTATGCACGCTCAAGTTTTCAGTTTTTTTGTCTTATTACTTGTTTGTTTCACAATAAAAAATATTTTGCATCTTCAAAGTGGTAGGCATGTTGTGTAAATCAAATTATACAAACCCCCCAAAAAATCCATTTTAATTCCCGGTTGTAAGGCAACAAAATAGGAAAAATGCCAAGTGGGGTGAATACTTTCGCAAGCCACTGTAGTATAGATCAGTGGTGACTGGTGGCACTTTAACTCAGAGGACAGGTTAATGGCTGGAATGGACTTAATGGATGGTATCAAACATATCAAACACATGGTTTCCATGCATTTGATACCATTCCATTTATTCCATTCCAGACATTACTATGAGCCGTCCTCCCATCACCAGCCTCCTCTGGTATAGAGGCTCAATAAACTAGATCAGATCAGTAACATGTCGAGTTGCCAACTGCATGTCTGTGGACTTGCAACAGGGAACGATATATAGACGTTCACCTCATCAACCATGGACTTAGTTTCAGGTCAACTGCATATTTGTAAACAACATGTACATTCTTTAGGTCTTCACAATGCAGTAATTACAGTATAGATCTGCGCAGCCTTTTGTCAGTATAATAGATATACATTCAGGTCTGACCCTATACATTTTAATCTAAGAGATCCATATAGCCGGGGTCATTCGTTTTTCATTCCAGTCAAATGAAGCTAACTGTGTTGTTGTTGTTGTTGGTCCAATGGAATGAAGGCCGGCTGTTTGTGTAACAACCTTGCGTTTTTGCCTTTTGTCTCCTCATTGCACTGAGCTCTGTTAGTGTGTTCTCACTTCAATCACCCACACATCACCCACATAAAGCCTGTATTATAGTTATTATAGTTTTATTGACAACATACATTACTGGCAATATTAACAATGGCAATCATTGTAGGCAGGCGGGAGGAGTTGGAAGCAGGCAGGAACATTCTAGCTAATGAAATGGCAGATTTACATGTGAACAACAGGCACAACTTCGATATAAAATGTATTTTCTCAACGTTGGCGGGATGTCAAGTGTGTGTGTAGATGTAAACATCTCTGTGTGTGTATGTATCTCAGGAGTCCCCTGGACGCTGCACACCTGGCTGGAGTCTCTGCGGACGTGTTTCCTGCAGCACCGGAGACCACTGATCCAGGGGCTGCTCAAGGAGTTCAGCTGTATCGAGGAGGAGGAGTACACACAGGAGCTCATCACCCACGGACTGCCACTCTTGTTTCAGATCCTACGAGCCAGCAAGGTGACTGGATATCATGGCCTGTATTCAAAAAGTGTCTCAGACAATTGCTGATCTAGGATCAGGTCCCCTCTCTTATTCATTATAATGTTTAAGGCAACATTTATTTGAGCACATATCTAACTTTCTACATTCTGCTTTTTTCCGTATCCACATTGGGAAATTGGTTGCATTGGGAAATTGGTCACATAAAAAATAAACGTAGATGTAAGAGGAATTTCAGAGGGGAATGTGAAGCATGTTGTCAGATCCCAACACGCCATCGCTCTCCATCCCCTGTTCTTCTATACCTCCATATCTGTCTCCTTTTCTCTCCTGACAGTGAAGATAGCTTCACGGTCATACCCTTAAGAAGGAACCTATGGATCTTCTTATTTCCCTTTATATAAACATGGCCCACTCGCTTGGCTCAGTCTCCTCTGCGTTCCTATGAGCCCTGGTCAAAGGTAGTACACTAAAATAGGGAATAGGGTGCCATTTGGAACACAACCTATTTGTCTTATTGTGATTATATAATGCAGCCCTCAGCTCCACAATAACTGGCGGAACCCCCCAGGCCCAATCCATTTAAATTAGTGCATTGATTTATGATTTATGCCCTCCGCTTCTAAATTGTACCCATTCTTCAAACCCCACCCGTCTCTCTTTATCCCATCAAGATTCACTGCAGCATTAGATCCAACATAATATCTCAATAATATATTATAACAGTAGAATGCCTTTTCTTCTATATCAACTAACTTTTGGCCTGTCATGTAGTTGAGTTTGTGCATTATTGCTGAGAGGGAGCAGATGAACACACACATGTGCATGGGCACTCACACACACCCATGCACACCCACGCACACACATACATACACACACATACACACACATGCACATACACACACAGTTATGTGGACTCTCGTGGACACACACGGACACAAACACAGACGAACGTACAAACACACACACACACACAGAGCCCCCGCCACACACCGCCCTCTCCTGTCCCATTCCAGCGGCTGCCCTTGTCCCTGTCAGGGTTGATCTATGGCGGAGGCAGTGATGCCATCTCTATGAGACGCCAGGGACCCCCGTCACTGTTTGTCCTGTCATATTCCCGCTAATAATGTGTGACTTCAAGGTAGAGAACGTTCATCTTCCTCTAGCCAGACTGTGTGTGTGTGTACCAGTCTATTCACACCTCCTTGCTTAACACACACACACACACACACACACACACAAAGGGCAGGCTGATGCACAACAGAGAGTAACACAGAGAAGATGTGTATGTTTTCCTGTTCAGGATGTGAAATGAGAAATGGGGACTTGTTCTATACAAGGGACTTGTTCTATACATGGGACTTGTTCTATACAAGGGACTTGTTCTATACATGGGACTTGTTCTATACAAGGGACTTGTTCTATACAGGGGACTTGTTCTATACAAGGGACTTGTTCTATACAGGGGACTTGTTCTTTACAGGGGACTTGTTCTATACAGGGGACTTGTTCTATACAAGGGACTTGTTCTATACATGGGACTTGTTCTATACAAGGGACTTGTTCTATACATTGGACTTGTTCTATACAAGGGACTTGTTCTATACAGGGGACTTGTTCTATACAAGGGACTTGTTCTATACAGGGGACTTGTTCTGTACAAGGGACTTGTTCTATACAAGGGACTTGTTCTATACATGGGACTTGTTCTATACAAGGGACTTGTTCTATACAGCGCACCGGTCCCCTCCCTTCCCCCACATAGGCCCTAGAGCCACACACAGTTACTCAGACACACTCTCCGATAGGAGAGACCTATTTTGTCCCCAGAGAAGTCTCACGTCTCTCAAGCTGGTGTGGCACACAGTACATTATAGCAGCATCATAGTTACTGCAAAATGAGTGCTTTCTTCACTCCATCAACAAGTGTGGGTCTGTAACCCTGAGTCCTCTGTTGTCTGCAGATGTTATTTTCATCCTTCTGAAAGCATCACTATATAATCTACTCACTGATTGACTGTGAACACCAGTGCTTGTTTAGTCAGCAGCCTTTGTGACTTGACCTACTGGAAAATGTGGAAGCGAATGTGGTAGGAGATATCTGGATCTGTCTTTATCTACATTGTATGTATGGAGTGTATAAAACCTGTCTGATATCTAACTCCCCTGAATACCTGCTCCCTATCTGTGATGTTCCAGAATGAGGTGATCAGCCAGCAGCTGTCACTGATCTTCACCCAGTGCTATGGGCCGTACCCCATCCCCAAACTCGCCGAGATCAAGAGGAAACAGACCTCACGCCTGGGTGAGCAGGAGAAGAAGGATTACGTCTTATTACTTAGTAGTAAAAGTTAGATTTCTGCTATGGAGCACTCCATACATAACACTGCACTGATTCACATCAGCATAGACAAATGTGCCATTTAGTGGCCAAAGATTGTAATAATAATAATATTCCATTTAGCAGACGCTTTTATCCAAAGCGACTTACAGTCATGTGTGCATACATTTTTTGTGTATGGGTGGTCCCGGGGATCGAACCCACTACCCTGGCGTTACAAGCGCCGTGCTCTACCAGCTGAGCTACAGAGGACCACAATAAACTAGACATTCAGAAGTGAGTTGCAATAAAATAGATGATGAATCTGTCTGCCTTCCAGACCCTCACTTCCTAAACAACAAGGAGATGTCAGATGTGACCTTCCTGGTGGAGGGGAAGCCGTTCTACGCCCACAAAGTCCTGCTCTTCACTGCCTCCGGCAGGTCAGAACACTGCTCTCTCACACATACATACACTGGTGGACATTTTAGTCATTTAGCAGACGCTCTTATCCAGAGTGATTTACAGGAGCAATTAGGGTTAAGTGCCTTGCTCAAGGGCACATCGACAGATTTTCCACCTAGTCGGCTCGGGGATTAGAACCAGCGACCTTTCAGTTACTGGCACAACGCGCTCCTAACCACTAAGCTACCTGCCGCCCCAGATTAAGCCTAGTCCTGGACTAAAACACACTTTCAATGGAGATTCTCCATTCAGGATTTCTAATCTAGGATGGTCTTTAACTGCATCTGGGCATATTCCTACGTTGCCCCCTACTAGGGACTTGTGTAGATCTGAAATGATTGGATAAGGGTAAGAAATATGGTATAAATTCCACCTAAACTATCTGATGGCAAGTGAGGCCAACTACCCTTACATAACTCCTTGACCCCAACTACCCTTACATAACTCCTTGACCCCAACTACCCTTACATAACTCCTGTTCCCAACTACCCTTACATAACTCCTGTCCCCAACTACCCTTACATAATTCCTGTCCCCAACTACCCTTACATAACTCCTGTTCCCAACTACCCTTACATAACTCCTGTCCCCAACTACCCTTACATAATTCCTGTCACCAACTACCCTTACATAACTCCTGTTCCCAACTACCCTTACATAATGCCTGTCCCCAACTACCCTTACATAACTCCTATCCCCAAATACCCTTACATAACCCCTATCCCCAACTACCCTTACATAACTCCTGTCTCCAACTACCCTTACATAACTCCTATCCCCAACCACCCTTACATAACTCCTGTTCCCAACTACCCTTACATAACTCCTGTCCCCAACTACCCTTACATAACTCCTGTCCCCAACTACCCTTACATAACTCCTGTCCCCAACTACCCATACATAACTCCTGTCCCCAACTACCCTTACATAACTCCTGTCCAGAGGACACGTTCCTAGTGGCCGGGGAATTTAATGCAGGGAAACGTACATCCGTTTTACCTAATTTCTACCAGCATGTTAAATGTGCAATCAGAGGAAAAAAAACTCTACACCACCTTTACTCCACATACAGAGACGCGTACAAAGCTCTCCCTCACCATCCATTTGGCAAATCTGACCATAACTCTATCCTCCTGATTCCTGCTTACAAGCAAAACTGAAGCAGGAAGCACCGGTGACTCGGTCAATAAAGTGGTCAGATGACGCAGATGCTAAGCTACAGGACTGTTTTGCTAGCACAGACTGGAATATGTTCCGGGATTCTTCCGAAGGCATTGAGGAGTACACCACATCAGTCACTGGTTTCATCAATAAGTGCATCGATGTGCACAGTACGTATATACCCCAACCAGAAGCCATGGATTACAGGCAACATCTGCACTGAGCTAAACGGGAGAGCTGCCGCTTTCAAGGAGCGGGACTCTAACCTGGACGCTTATAAGAAATCCCGCTATGCCCTCCGACGAACCATCAAACAGGCAAAGCGTCAATACAGGACTAAGATTGAATCGTACTACATTTTTTAATTTTTTTGTCATTTAGCAGACACTCTTATCCAGAGCGACTTACAGGAGAAATTAGGGTTAAGTGCCTTGCTCAAGGGCACATCGACAGATTTTTCTCCTAGTCGGCTTGGGGATTAGAACCAGCGACCTTTCGGTTACTGGCACTACGCTCTTAACCACTAAGCTACCTGCCGCCCTACACCTGCCGTACTACACTGGCTCTGACGCTCGTCGGATGTGGCATGGCTTGCAAACTATTACAGACTACAAAGGGAAGCACAGCCACGAGCTGCCCAGTGACACGAGCCTACCAGACGAGCTAAATTACTTCTATGCTCGCTTCAAGGCAAGCAACACTGAAGCATGCATGAGCGCATCAGCTGTTCCGGACGACTGTGTGATCACGCTTTCCGTAGCCAATGTAAGTAAGACAGGTCAACATTCACAAGGCCGCAGGGCCAGACGGATTACCAGGAAATGTACTCCGAGCATGCGCTGACCAACTGGCAAGTGTCTTCATTTACATTTTCAACCTGTCCCTGACTGAGTTTGTAATACCAACATGTTTCAGGCAGACCACCACCAGGCTGGTCATGGCTCACATCAACACCATTATAATATTTTTTATTTTCTTTGTCATTTAGCAGACGCTTTTATCCAGAGCGACTTACAGTTAGTGAGTGCATACATTTTTTCATACTGGCCCCCCGTGGGAAACGATTTCCACAACCCTGGCGTTGCAAGCGCCATGCTCTACCAACTGAGCTACACCAACTGAGAAACCCTAGACCCACTCCAATTTGCATACCGCCCCAACAGATCAACAGATGACCCAATCTCTATTGCACTCCACACTGCCCTTTCCCACCTGGACAAAAGGAACACCTATGTGAGAATGCTATTCATTGACTACAGCTCAGCGTTCAACACCATAGTGCCCTCAAAGCTCATCACTAAGCTAAGGACCCTGGGACTAAACACCTCCCTCTGCAACTGGATCCTGGACTTCCTGACGGGCCGCCCCCAGGTGGTAAGGGTAGGTAACAACACATCTGCCACGCTGATCCTCAACACGGGGGTCCCTCAGGGGTGCGTGCTCAGTCCCCTCCTGTACTCCCTGTTCACCCATGACTGCATGGCCAGGCACGACTCCAACACCATCATTAAGTTTGCCGACGGCACAACAGTGGTAGGCCTGATCACCGATAACGATGAGTAAGCCTATAGGGAGGAGGTCAGAGACCTGGCCGTGTGGTGCTATGATAACAACCTCTCCCTCAACGTGATCAAGACAAAGGAGATGATTGTGGACTACAGGAAAAATAGGACAGAGCACGCCCCCATTCTCATCGACGGGGCTGTAGTGGAGCAGGTTGAGAGCTTCAAGTTCCTTGGTGTCCACATCACCAACAAACTATCATGGTCCAAACACACCAAGACAGTTGTGAAGAAGGCACGAGAAAGCCTATTCCCCCTCAGGAGATTGCAAAGATTTGGCATGGGTCCTCAGATCCTCAAAAAGTTATACAGCTGTACAATCGAGAGCATCCTGACTGGTTACATCACTGCCTGGTATGGCAACTGCTCGGCCTCCGACCGCAAGGCACTACAGAGGGTAGTGCGTACGGCCCAGTACATCACTGGGGCCAAGCTTCCTGCCATCCAGGACCTCTATACCAGGCGGTGTCAGAGGAAGGCCCTAAAAATTGTCAAAGACTCCAGCCACCCTAGTCATTGACTTTTCTCTCTGCTACCGCACGGCAAGTGGTACCGGAGTGCCAAGTCTACGTCCAAAAGGCTTCTTAACAGCTTCTACCCCCAAGCCATAAGACTCCTGAACAGCTAATGAAATGGCTACCCGGACTACCCGGACTATTTGCATTGTCCCCCCCCCCCCCCCCCCTTTTACACTCTGTTTGTTATCTATGCATAGTCACTTTAACTCTACCTACATGTACATATATTACCTCAATTACCTCGACTAACCAGTGCCCCCGCACATTTACTCTGTACTGGTACCCCCTGTATATAGCCTGGCTACTGTTATTTTACTGCTGCTGATTATTTGATATTTTTATTTTTTAGTTATCTATTTTTTACTTAACACTTATTTTCTTAAAACTGCATTGTTGGTTAAGGGCTTGTAAGTAAGCATTTCACTGTAAGGTCTACACCTCTTGTATTCGGCGCATGTGACAAATACAATTTGATTTGATTTGATGTGCGGCAGGACCAAATCGGAGAGATAGATAGGAGCAAGTCCAAGCAATGCTTTGTAGGTTAGCAGTAAAACCTTGAAATCAGCCCAAGCCTTAACAGGAAGCCAGTGTAGAGTAATATGATCGACATTTTGGGTTGTAGTCAAGCTCTAGCAGCTGTATTTCGCACTAACTGAAGTTTATTTAGTGATTTATCCGGGTAGCCGGAGAGTAGAGCAATGCAGTAGTCTAATCTAGAAGTGACAAAAGCATGGATTAGCTTTTCTGCATAATTTTTGGACAAAAGGTTTCAGATTTTTGCAACATTACGAAGATGGAAAAAAGCTGCCCTTGAAATATTCGAACTATGTTCGTCAAAAGAGAGATCAGGGTTCAGAGTAACGCCGAGGTCCTTCACAGTTTTATTTGAGACAACTGTACAACCATCAAGATTGATTGTCAGATCAAACAGCAGATCTCTTTGTTTATTGGGACCTAGAACTAGCATCTCTGTTTTGTCTGAGTTTTAAAGTAATACATGTTCCGCCATCCACCTCCTTATGTCTGAAACACAGACTTCCAGGGTAGGCAATTTTGGCGCTTCACCACGTTTCATCGAAATGTACAGCTGTGTGTCGTCCGCATAGCAGTGAAAGTTGACATTGTGTTTCCGAATGACGTCACCAAAAGGTAGAATATATAGTGAAAACAATAGTGGTCCTAAAACGGAACCTTGAGGAACGCCGAAACTTACCATTAATTTATCAGAAGACAAATCTCCAACTACCCTTACATAACTAGTTAGCGATTGCACATCGGCTACACAATGATGAAACATATGACTAACTGCAGAAAGGTGTGGAGACTGTGTCCATATTTGCTGTGCGTTGATACATAATGCCATTTTCTCTGGCCCTTGGTACCCTAAGAATACTCTCACTTCAGAGTCTGTCACATGGTATTGAGGATGACTGGCCACACAATGAGTGAGGGCTTGTCACAAGATGGTGGATGTCCTTAACAAGTCTTTGTTGACGTGTTCTGTAGAGAGGTGGTGTGTGTCAAGGGCCTTGTAAAAACCAGTTTAAATGGATATGAACCATTACCTTCTCTGTACCGTAAAATACGTTGTATGACAGTGATTACGGTGTTCATTGGTAGAGTGTAAAGACCGTAAGTGAAAAGATGAAGGTTAAATCAAGGTTTATTACGGTGATTTTAACCGTGGACAATTTTCTAATTCCTCATGTTCTCTATCTCTTTTTTATTCTCTCTCTGTCTTTCTTTCTCTCTGCTTAAGGTTTAAGTCTCTACTGGCGAACAGACCAGCTGCTGAAAACACATGTATTGAAATCAGCCACGTCAAATACAACATATTCCTGGTGCGTTCATAGAGAAAACAACTATTCTGTTAACTTAGACATATGTTTTTCCCTTGCAATCTAATCAAATCTATACATGAATCAGACAACGGTGTGATAAATTCTCAAAGGGAATGTTCATACAAAAAAATACCCAGATTCTTTCCCATGAGAGTGTAAATCCATTGGTAGGTTTGTTGTGTTTTGTGAACGTTGTGTAAATGTCAGTTCATCTGTACTGTTACAGCTGGTGATGCAATACCTCTACTGTGGTGGGACAGAGCATCTGCACATCAGAAACACAGAGGTTATGGAGGTAAGACTGTTAGTCCATTTGCCACGTTGTCAGTCGAGTCATGTTTTCTAAGATGCAATAAGACTTGGACCAATATAAATAGATGCATCAGTGTACATACCAAGACAATTTAGATACTTCCTGATACAAGAGGGTGTGCAGTCCCAGTTAGTGAGGAGCAGTATTACAGTCCAACAACATGTCATACTTAACCATAATAGGGTCATTTTACTAGCCTGGTGACTGGTCCGAGAGCTGTGTCATTGTGACCATACAGTAGGATAAGGCAGCCTAAACAGATCTGGTACCAGGCTGTAATTATCCTCTTTTCTGGTGTGTGTAGCTGCTGTCAGCGGCCAAGTTCTTCCAGCTGGAGGCGCTGCAGAGGCACTGTGAGATTATCTGCTCTAAGAACATCAACACAGAAACCTGTGTGGAGATCTACAGCCACACCAAGGTGAGTTAAGAATGTGTGTATACAGTTGAAGTCGGAAGTTTACATACACCTTAGCTAAATACATTTAAACTCAGTTTTTCACAATTCCTGACATTTAATCATAGTAGAAATTCCCTGTTTTAGGTCAGTTAGGATCACCACTTTATTTTAAGAATGTGAAATGTCAGAATAATAGTAGAGATAATTATTTATTTCAGCTTTTATTTATTTCAGCACATTCCCAGTGGGTCAGAAGTTTACATACACTAAATTAGTATTTGGTAGCATTGCCTTTAAATTGTTTAACTTGGGTCAAACGTTTCGGGTAGCCTTCCACAAGCTTCCCACAATAAATTGGGTTAATTTTGGCCCATTCCTCCTGACAGAGCTGGTGTAACTGAGTCAGGTTTGTAGGCCTCCTTGCTCTCACACGCTTTTTCAGTTCTGCCCACAAATGTTCTATAGGATTGAGGTCAGGGCTTTGTGATGGCCACTCCAATACCTTAACTTTGTTGTCCTTAAGCCATTTTGCCACAACTTTGGAAGTATGCTTGGGGTCATTGTCCATTTGGAAGACCCATTTGCGACCAATCTTTAACTTCTTGAGACGTTGCTTCAATATATCCACATAATTTTCCTACCTCATGATGCCATCTATTTTGTGAAGTGCACCAGTCCCTCCTGCAGCAAAGCACCCCCACAGCATGATGCTGCCACCCCCGTGCTTCACGGTTGGGATGGTGTTCTTCGGCTTGTAAGGTCCCCCTTTTTCCTCCAAACATAACGATGGTCATTATGGCCAAACAGTTCTATTTTTGTTTCATCAGACCAGAGGACATTTCTCCAAAAAGTACGATCTTTGTCCCCATGTGCAGTTGCAAACCGTAGTCTGGCTTTTTTATGGCGGTTTTGGAGCAGTGGCTTCTTCCTTGCTGAGCGGCCTTTCAGGTTATGTCGATATAGGACTTGTTTTACTGTTGATATAGATACTTTTGTACCTGTTTCCTCCAGCATCTTCACAAGGTCCTTTGCTGTTGTTCTGGGATTGATTTGCACTTTTCACACCAAAGTACGTTCATCTCTAGGAGACAGAACGCGTCGCCTTCCTGAGCGGTATGACGGCTGTGTGGTCCCATGGTGTTTATACTTGCGTAGTATTGTTTGTACAGATGAACGTGGTACCTTCAGGCATTTGGAAATTGCTCCCAAGGATGAACCAGACTTGTGGAGGTCTACAATTTTTGGGCTGATTTCTTTTGATTTTCCCATGATGTCAAGCAAAGAGGCACTGAGTTTGAAGGTAGGCCTGAAATACATCCACAGGTACACCTCCAATTGACTCAAATGATGTCAGTTAACCTATCAGAAGCTTCTAAACCCATGACATCATTTTCTGGAATTTTCCAAGCTGTTTAAAGGCACAGTCAACTTAGTTTATGTAAACTTCTGACCCACTGGAATTGTGATACAGTGAATTATAAGTGGAATAATCTGTCTGTAAACGATTGTTGGAAAAATTACTTGTGTCATGCACAAAGTAGATGTCCTAACAGACTTGCCAAAACTATAGTTTGTTAACAAGACATTTGTGGAGTGGTTGAAAAACGAGTTTTAATGACTCCAACCTAAGTGTATGTAAACTTCCGACTTCAACTGTATGTGTGTGGGTGGGTGTGGGGGTCTGCTTGTGTTTTACATTTACATTTACATTTACATCATTTAGCAGACACTCTTATCCAGAGCGACTTACACATTGGTGCATTCAACTTATGATAGCCAGTGGGACAACCACTTTTTATTTATTTAATTTTTTTATGGGGGGGTGGGGGGGGGGGTAGAAGGATTACTTTATACTATTCCAGGTATTCCTTAAAGAGGTAGGGTATGTCTACTCTCTATTCATGCACGTGTGTATGAGGCCATACATTTACATTTACATTTTAGTCATTTAGCAGACGCTCTTATCCAGAGCGACTTACAGGAGCAATTAGGGTTAAGTGCCTTGCTCAAGGGCACATTTACGTCATTTAGCAGACGCTCTAGTCCAGAGCGACTCACAAATTGATGCATTCACCCTATAGCCAGTGGGATAACCACTTAACAATTTTTTTTTTGGGGGGGGGGGGGGGGGGGGTAGAAGGATTACTTTATCCTATCCCAGGTATTCCTTAAAGAGGTGGGGTTTCAAATGTCTCCGGAAGGTGGTGAGGTTTGTGTGTGTGTGATCACGTGTAAACATATTTGCCTGTGCTTGCCTTCCTGCTAGGTGTCTGTGCCATTTGCAGTATGCACTGAAGGCATGCATGCAAATAAATAAAACATGTTTGATACACAGATTCTTAAGTAGGTGTCTCCATAATGAGTTTGTGCAGCACTGATGAGGGCATAGAAGCCGAAACATATGCTCCTTTTTTTTGTTTTTATAGCACCTTGCACTTTAACCTTTTGTACTCTTTCGAGCATGGATTAAATTAAGTATATTATTTTTGCATCTCTGCTTCCTTGGGTTATTCCTTTGTCATGGTTTGAGTGTGAGTACCTTTTGAACTCTACTGATACACAGATTCCCTACGCAGTGTGTGTGCGTGCTTGCTCGCGTGCGTGTGTGAACAAAAATGTATAGGTTTGGCATCCATCTCAAGCTAGACAACACTCATCTGTTCTCAAACCTTCTGCTCCATCAGTTCCTGGATGTCCCAGATTTGGCTGTCTACATCGAGGGCTACTTCCTGAAAAACATGGTGGTGCTGATCGAGCTGGAGCCCTTCAAAACACTGCTGTACGACACGCCCCCAGACAGTCCCTCCACCGATGTACTCCTGGACCTGGAGAAGACCCTAGGCATCCGCATCCAGTCCATCCACCTGTCCTCCTCCAAGGGCTCCATCGTCTGATTGGTTGATTGATTGAGCTGCTACTGGGACTGGAACTGTCTGTCACCATTGACCCCAGTTCAACACAAACTGTACTGAACCACACTCGACAGTGACACTGTTAAATTGCTTGCTGTGCTGACACACCATTGCCATTCTCCTGCAGCCTACTGAGCTTTGGTCTGAGCACTTAGGCAAAGTGGACAGCGCTGGAACCCCAGAAATTGTGAAAAGGATATTTTTGTAGAGCTGTAGTAAAGCTGACTGATCACGACAATAGTGGGACTATATCACTGAGATGCAGTGAGGAGAGTGTGTGTGTATGTCTGGGATCATTCGTAAAGCCCCAGTCAACATGAATTAGCTCCTTGACATTAGTCTCCAGACTGCAGTCAGACCTGCCATTGTTCACTTGTCTAGTGGACAGAATCATTGTTGGTACTTTTCTCAGCATGGTTCTGCAATCCTACATAGCTTTATAGTATATTTATAACTGGGCCTAGCCAAACTTAACATAAGAGCAGACCTGAGTTCAGTATTATTTGAAATAAAATACTTTTAGCATTTGCTCTAGTCTGCCCGGGGTGTCAGATTGGAGTTTGCCCTTTTGCGACTATTCTATTGGTTCCATTGTGCCAGGCAAGCTCAATCACGCCTATTTAAAGTATTTCAAATTATTTCAAATAGTATTTCAACCCTGGTCTGCTACATGTAAGAGTGATATGTGGATATACTGTATGTCATGTGGTAGTATGTTTTAAGGGAGTCATGCAAAGGAGAGAGGTATTGGGAAATTATTCAAGCTACATTTGGGAAAGCTGGAAAGCTGGAAAACATATTTCCTTCCTTCATCCTCTGTTAGAACTGTGTAAATATTGTGAATAAAACACAGAGCTATGGCTCCTCTTGTAAGTTAATGTATATATCCTACAGATGTTTCTTCTTCTCATGTGTCTCACCATTGGATATTGCTTTATAAAATGCTGTTCTTTTCAATGTGTTACTGTTCTGTATGTTTCAAGTTGCATGTCATGAGAATGACTGTTTTGCTTGTGTTCAGTTTGGTTTAAGAGTGGCATCAGACTTTAAGGGAGGGAGTGGGAGGGGTAGAGGAGCGATATTGTCAGCATGTGTCTCTAAATGTGTAGTAGTGTACTGGTGTCTTCATTTCAGGAGAGAACGGCTATGGGCCTGGGCCTGTATTCAAAAAGCGTCTCTAGAATCAGGTCCCCGGTCTGTATAATCGTATTCATTATGATCTAAAAGGATCAAACTGATCCAGCACACCTACTCTGAGACACTTTATGGATAGGGGCCTGGTTCAAAAGATGATCAGGGTCTATCCTAAACCGGGGAAGCGTCATCTGTTGTGTTTTCCAGACATTGTGAAACTACATGTAAATGTGTGACTTAATATCCGTTTCCTCTAGAAAGATTAATATAAAGAATGATATGAATCCTCTCTAGATATCAACTGGTACAATTCTTGTCTCGAACAACAATCTCAACGATTTTTCCACTGTGAAACCTTAGTAAATGGTCTCCAGTTGTTGTTGGAACCTATGGATTTACCCTCTGGTGTTCTGTCATTAGCTGGATCCCTCATGGCGGAAGGTTTGTGAGTGGTCATGTGATATCATCACACAACCACACACTTCACAAGCTGTACTACATAGAATAAATTAGCTTTAGGTTGTATCCCAATTCTCCACCTTTCTCCCAAAGTGTGCACTTGCACACTTCCAGTCATGGATTTCACAGTGGTGGAAACTCCCTCCAGCCAATTCTTACACCAATCCAATTGTTTTAAATCCATGACAGGGAGAGTGCAAGTGCGGTTGGAAAATCAGGGAGAAGGTTGGAAAATCGGGATGTAGCCTTAGACTACAATCCTGACAACTTTGTCTTGCTGTTAGGGAAAGGGGAATACCTAGTCATTTGTACAACTGAATGCATTAAACTAAAATGTGTCTTCTGCATTTAATCTCTGAATTAGAGAGGTGCAGGGGGCTGCCTTAATCAACGTCATCGGCGCACTGGGAGCAGTTGTTGTTGGAGGCTAACTGCCTTGCTCAAGGGCAGATTTTTCCACCTTGCTGGATAGGGGATTCTAACCAGCAACCTTTTGCTCCTAACCGCTAGGCTACCTGCTACTGTTCAAACTAACTGCGATCAATAGATATGAATGTCTGTAGCCTGGAATCCAAACTGATATGCTCCATTTCACTATGGTTTCACTTCATGAAAGGGAGCATATCAGTTTGGATTCTGGGCTAATGAATGCCTACAGAGAACTGCTGAAGCCCTTGAGACAGCGCTCAATTGCAGTATACAAATAGGATTATGATATTATGAGCCATGGACCTCTCAGTGCCTAGAGGGAGAGAGAGCAAGAGAAGACAAGTAGACAGAGAGAGGTAGTCAGCATTAGAGAATGAGAGAAATAGAGAGAGTGACAGGCAGCTAGTCAAAAAGAAGAGCGAGAGAGACAGCACTCAGACTAAGAAGAGAGATGAGCCAGTATAAAAAGAAGAAGAGAGAATCAGTGCCATTGTAACAGCATTGCAGAGAGAACAGGCTTGTCATTGTCCTCTGCTCTACTCTTCTCTAGTCAATAATCTGTGGTTTTACTGTACAGGACACTACTAGCTGAATTGAACTGAACTGTTTCATCTTGGACTCCCAGCTCTACTCCTCGGCTGTTTATAAAAGTGACGGACTGTTTAGATTCATCGTGCAGTTAGATGTTATTTGTAATCAAATTTAATCACCACTGTGCTAGGCTGCCTGCTAGTCTGTCTGTCTGTGTGTGTCAGTACTGCGGCAGCAGCCAAGTGTGTCTGGCCTGCCAAACAACATGATTAATCACAATTAAACCATTACTCCTGATATGAACAAGATGACAGGACTAGAATGACACGCCAGGTTAGTTTGCTCTGTGTTTTTTTTTCTATTTGCAGGTGTGTAAAAATATATAGATAGGTTCTGAGGAGGAACTTGTCCTCTCCCACAAGATGTATACTTATGTTGCCATGGAAATTTCCCTATGGGACATTTAAGTATTCTATTCTTTCACAAGAGAGCTAACACTCTCCACTACTTTAAACTCCTTCAAAACACAGTTATGATAGATTGATAACTATGTCCTCTGAAATGACCATAGGCACAGAATGGTACCATGTTGGACTACAGGCCTACAGATGTAGGATCTTAATTTGAGCCAGTTTGCTACAGCAGGAAAATAATCCTGCAGCAACAGGACATTTGAATTATTATGTGGATTATAATTATTGGACATTTTTGTAGGGGTTAATACATTTTTCGTAAGGGAAAATCAAGTCTGACATTTCAAAGTGGAAATTACACACACCAGAAGCCTTTTTAAATTTCAAATACACTACAGTATACATGTCTTCTCCTGCAACATGGTGATCCAATTAAGATCCTACACCTGTATGCTTTACTGAGACTGATCAGTCATTCAGTGTATGTGTTCTTTGCATTGCAGAGGGGACGGAGTCATGGGGAGGGGGGTGAAGGGAGGTGGAGGGGTTGAAGAGTTGTTGAAGAGTATCCATAGATACGGCTGTCTGGGAACAATATTAAGCTGAGAGTATACTGCTGTGCACAGAGTGAATAGAATCCCTGATTGCGCAAACATGCGCATGCACACACACACACACACACATACCTTCCTGTGGCTGCAGCAGTCCTCTGCGGAGCGTGCTGACAGACATATTAACAGACACATACTCATCCTATTCATAAGGATGTAATTCAGGGAAAAGTAATTTGGGGAAACTGATGTGGTACACTGGAATGAACTTCCATCAGATTCACTGTGTCAGATGTGGCAGGAAACCATGTGAGTGACCGAACCAAATGCCTCTCTGTCTCTTTTCTAAAGCCCTGCTGGACAACTTGATTTACTGGACTGTGAAGTGTAGCTAGCTACTGTTGGTTGGGCAGGGGTAAGGAGGAGGGGCGAGACAGGAACTCCTAGGGGAGAGAACCCAGTTATTTAACTAAACCAATGACATTATTTTCTTGTGTGTATTTTGTATGGGATGTGTTGGTGTGTGTGTGTCTGTGTGTGTGTGTGCGTGTGTGTGTATTCAGTATACATGTCTTAGTAAGTGGGCTGAAGTACACTATATATACAAAAGTATGTGGACACCCCTTCACATTAGTGGATTCGGCTGTTTCAGCCACACCCGTTGCTGACAGATTTATAAAATCGAACACACCTCCATGCAATCTCCATAGACAAACATTGACAGTAGAATGGCCTTATTGAAGAGCTCAGTGACTTTCAATGTGGCACCGTCATAGGATGCCACCTTTCCAACAAGTCAGTTCGTCAAATTTCTGCCCTGTTAGAGCTGCCCTGGTCAACTGTATTTGCTGTTATTGTGAAATGGAAACATCTATGAGCAACAACAGCTCAGCTGTGAAGTGGTAGGCCACACAAGCTGGCTCAGAAAAGGGCAGCACGGCTGGCCCTTGGATGTACACAGAGAGCTAACATTAATAATATGCATGTAAATCTCTCCTGGCTCAAGGTGGAGGAGAGATTGACTTCATCACTACTTGTATTTGTGAGAGGTATTGACATGTTGAATGCACCGAGCTGTCTGTTTGAACTAGTGGCACACAGCTCGGACACCCATGCATATCCCACAAGACATGCCAACAGAGGTCTCTTCACAGTCCCCAAATCCAGAACAGACTATGGGAGGCGCACAGTACTACATAGAGCCATGAACTCTATTCCACATCAAGTAACTCATGCAAGCTGTAAAATTAGATTTAAAAAACAGATAAAAATGCATGGAACAGCGGGGACTGTGACACATGCATACAAACACACGATAGGGCACACACTTAATATGTTGTGAAATCTGTTGTGAATGTATTGTAATGTTTTAAAAAATGTACAACTGCCTTAATGTTGCTAGACCCCAGGAAGAGTAGCTGCTGCCTTGGCAGGAACTAATGGGGATCCATAATAAATACAAATACAAAATACAAGCTCACAGAACGGGACCGCCGAGTGCTGAAGCACGTAGCGTGCAAAAATCGTCTGTCCTCAGATGCAACACTCACTACCGAGTTCCAAACTGCCTCTGGAAGCAACGTCAGCACAAGAACTGTTCGTCGGGAGCTTCATGAAATGGGTTTCGATGGCCGAGCAGCCGCACACAAGCCTAAGATCACCATGCGCAATGCCATGCGTCGGCTGGAGTGGTGTAAAGCTTGCCGCCATTGCACTCTGGAGCAGTGGAAACGCGTTCTCTGGAGTGATTAATCCAGCTTCACCATCTGGGAGTCCGATGGACGAATCTGGATTTGGCGGATGCCAGGAGAACACTACCTGCCCCAATGCATAGTGCCAACTGTAAAGTTTGGTGGAGGAGGAATAATGGTCTTGGGCTGTTTTTCATGGTTCAGGCTCCTTAGTTCCAGTGAAGGGAAATCTTAACACTACAGCACACAATGACATTCTAGACGATTCTGTGCTTCCAACTTTGTGGCAACAGTTTGGGGAAGGCCCTTTTCTGTTTCAGCATGACAATGCCCCCATGCACAAAGCGAGTTCCATACAGAAATGGTTTGTTGAGATCGGTGTGGAAGAACTTGGCTGACCTGCACAGAGCCCTGACCTCAATCCCAGGCCAAATCGCCCAACATCAGTGCTCGACCTCACTAATGCTCTTGTGGCTGAATGGAAGCAAGTCCCCGCAGCAATGTTCCAACATCTAGTGGAAAGCCTTCCCAGAAGAGTGGAGGCTGTTATAGCAGCAAAGGGGGCACCAACTCCATATTAATGGCCATGATTTTGAAATGAGATTTTTGACGAGCTGGTGTCCACATACTTTTGGTCTTGTAGTGTATGTGTCTGTATGTTCTCAGTGTGTGAGCAGATGGGAGGGAAGGGAAAGGGAGTCTGCACTATCCAGCTCTGCCCCTAGCAGAAGCCCCTTCTCCTCTCTCTCTCTCTCTCTCTCTCTCTCTCTCTCTCTCTCTCCTCATCTTCTCTCCTCTCTGTCCCCTCTCGTCCTCTCCTCTCCCCTCTCCTATTCTCATCTCCTCTCTCTCCCTTCTCCTCCTCGCCCCTCTCCTCTCCTCTCCTCTTCTCACCTCTCCTCTGCCCTCTTTGTCATTCACAGGTCGTATCTCTCGGGCACAGAACGCACTGTCAGCTTGAGGGGCATGTGTTTTTGTTCCCCTCTGTGAAAACAGCTAGCTCCAGAATAGTTTTCCCTCTTCTAAAGAGAGTGAGAGAGAGGGAGGAAGAGAGTGGGAGAGGGAGGGAGGGAGAGAGTGGGAGAGAGAGTGACGAAAACAAGTGTCTTCTATATGGGATTGTACAATTTCTGTGTCCATTGAGAGAGAACTTGTGGGTACATTGGGGAGATACTACAAGACAGACAACTGAACAGGTGAGTGGGAGAGGAAGACGAGGAAAGGGGAGGGGATGAAAAGGGTAATGTTTGAATCAGAAGAGACCTGTAGGACAGAGGGGCAAGAGGGAGGGGTTGTTTTTGAAATATTGTAGGATTAAATGATGTGTGTACATTTTTTTGCACATATCTTCTATTTGTATTGATCTTGTTCCTTGCTATCCACTTGTTATCCTCTAGCCGCTCAAGGTTATACCCACTTTTTACTACAAACCATTTTCACTCAGAGCTATATAATGCTCTCAGAGTTTGGTTAATGTGAACTATTATGATTAATATAACTCATAATAGATCTGGTTGATCTTACATTTTTATATTGGAAAGAAGATTCAAGAAATCAAACGTAATGGTACAGAAAACCGTTTTGTCTTATGACACTTATTTATTTATCAACTCATAATTAACTGTGAAAGAAAAAACATTTCCATTTGTGCAGCTTTATCTTCCTAAAGGACCAAAGACGATGAAGTTATCGTTTGATTCCGATTCTGATTACTCAAAGTGTCTGAATGTCCGTTCTCACAGACACACACTAGTGTCATTTGATTCAGATCATGACTGTACTTCTGACAAAGAGTCTGAATGTCCACTCTCCCAGATACACAAGTTCTTCAGACCCAACGTGACCGTCCCATTGGATCATCGGGGGGCTCTGTCACTCATCTCACCATGATGCAGCGTGACGATCTGTCTGGCATGGAGGAGTTCAGCTACGCCCAGATGCCCACGCTGGAGAGAGGAGCTGGTGGGGGTACAGTGGGACGGCGGGGGTGTGTGGAGAGGGACCGGCCAGAGAGCTACATGGTGGACATGAGGGCCAGTGACCTGCAACTTGCCCCCTCTGAGAAGCCCATGTACCCCTGCCTAAGCCATAGGACCTGGCTATACAGTGTCCTCATTGGGGTGAGAGGTCAGGAGGTTAAAGGTCAAGGGTTAAACGTTAAACGTTGCAACAGCAGGGGGTTGGACAACTCTGGTATTCCAGAAACACAGTGCTGCTGGTTTTTGGTTTGTACCAGGGATTTATTGTAAATAATTAGTCATATTCAATGCCATTGACTGGTTAGAGAGAGACCCCACAGTCTGATTTGAAGGCAGAAAAATAGCATAACAGCATTACAGAATCTTTCGAGGAGGAGATGTACACCTCTGGTTTACAACATTCTCATAGGGGTGAGAGCAGAGAGAACAGGGGTAGGGTGACAACTTTTTGGTAAGTGAACTCTCCTCTAGGCAGTTTACGTACTAACCACTGTGTGTTTGTGTGTGTGTGTGTGTGTGTGTGTGTGTGTGTGTGTGTGTGTGTGGGTGGGTGGTCTACAGAGCAGTCTGTTGGTCACGGCTGGCTTCTCTCTCTACCTGGGCAACGTGTTTCCTGCTGCTATGGACTACCTGCGCTGTGCTGCAGGCTCGGTGAGAGGCTCTTAGCTGACTAGAGTCTGACAAAAAGGCTGATCCTCATGTCCCAGAGCTATTTGTGCTGTCTATCCAAGGAGTTGGCAAGACAGCACAAACAGATATGGGACTCAGGCTAGGTATGACCTGATAGTAACGTCAAAATAAAGCCTGTGGCAGATCCTTACTGTAACAGGTCTACATTCTTCTAATAATACACTGAGTATACAAAACATTAGGAACACCTGCTCTTTCCATGTCACTTGTTAAATCCACTTCAATCAGTGTAGATGAAGGGGAGGAGACAGGTTAAAGAATACTTTTTAAGCCTTGAGACAATTGAGACATGGATTGTGTATGTGTGCCATTCAGAGGGTGAATGGGCAAGACAAAATATTGAAGTGCCTTTGAACGGGATATGGTAGTAGGTGCCAGGCGCACCAGTTTGAGTGTGTCAAGAACTGCAACGTTGCTGGGTTTTTTCATGCTCAACAGTTTCCCGTGTGTATCAAGAATGGTCCACCACCCAAAGGACATCCAGTCAACTTCACACAACTGTGGGAATCATTGGAGTCAACATCGGCCAGCATCCCAATGGAACGCTTTCGACACCTTGTAGAGTCCATGCCCCAACGAATTGAGGCTGTTCTGAGGGCACAAGGGAGTCCAACTCAATATTAAGAAGGTGTTCCTAATGTTTTGTACACTCAGTGTATATTAAAATAGGCAATAGACAAACCTGCTTTGTTGCCAAAAAAAGTATTCGGACCAGTGGTGGCTATGACGAGGCAGCACCCCACTGCAGGCAGGCCAATATCCTGTGTATGTATTTGTATAATATCACTTCCCAGGCTACACAGCTATGGTGTAGTATATACAATATTCAGAGACACTCTCGTTTGGTTCGACGAGATTAGTATTTGTGTGTTTCTTTGTTTCAGAGTATCCCAGCAGCAGCTGTCAGCTTTGCCATTGCCAAAAACCATTATGTTGCAGTGAGTTCACAATAAATGATCTTACACTACTCAATGAGCATGTGTATTTTTTGCATGAATGCTGTCCAGGGGCTACTTGTCCCCTGCTGTCAATATGTCCCCTTAATACTGTAAACATGTCCCCTTAATACTGTAAACATGTCCCCTTGATTTTATAAGCATGTCCCTGAGACAGGTGCTAATATAGTGTACCCTTGTGATTGACAGGTGTCAGATTTCCAGGTGGTATTTGTGTCCACCTTCGCTGTGACGACCACCTGCCTGGTGTGGTTTGGCTGTAAGCTGGTGTTGAGTCCCTCTGCTGTCAATGTGAGTCTACAGCCGATCAGTTTTTTTCTAAATTGTGTGTACACTCTATGTAGTTGCCCTAATGCAATGCTTTGAGGCGCTTCAATTGTTTGTTTGCATGATATGCACACACACACACACACACACACACACACACACACAAACACACATCATAGGATACAGATGTTAAATGCATCTCTCTCCTTGTCTCTAACCCTGCTTCCCTCCTCTGTCTCTCTCCCCCATGGTCCTATCCCCTGTTCAGATCAACGTTAACCTCATCCTGCTGATTCTGCTGGAGGTGCTGATGGCCAGTACGGTCATTCTGTCAGCACGCTCTGCAGAGAACTGCTGCAGCCACAGGAAGGTGTGTGTGTGTGTGTGTGTGAATGTTATTGCTACAAACACAGTTTGTGCATTGGTTGGCTGCACTGTAATTTGTGCTGTACTGTGTGGCGTGTAAGATTGTTTGCCTGCATGTAATTTTAAGATGCTGACCTCTCTCTCTCTCTCTCTCTCCCTCCCGCTGTATGTTATCTCTTCCCTCTCTATCTCTCACTCTCCCACAGCCAGTTACGTATGACGGTCCTGTGGTTCTGACCCCTGCTGTCTTTCCCACTCGACTTCTAAAGGCCTACTCTGTGAGTACATAGACACTGAGTTTATGTGTGTGTGTGAATGAGATACATTAGACATTCTACTATGTACTCCTAACAGTGAATGTAATGTTTGTGCATTGAAACACCACAAATACTGTACAGTACATTGGCTACATGATTGTTGTTCTTCAATTACATCAATAGTCACTGCTGTGTATTCCCAATAGTCACTGCCGTGTATTTCCGACAGGTGATTGAGGTGTTAGTAGGAATCTCGGCTGTGTTTGGCAGTATCATCGCTCTCAACATGGACGCCTTGCTCCCGGGTCCATACCTGTCTGTCACCTTCTTCTGGATCTTAGTGGCTGTGAGTTAAACTGCGTGTGTTACAATGGGTCTACACAATTGGTTCCCAAATGTTTTGGTTCCCAAATGATCCAATAGAGAGTCTGGCTGCGACTCAACAATGGGTGAAAGACTGAAACACCTCTGTTTTGCTCCCTGTCTCGGCAGTGTTTCCCAAGTGACATTGCCAGCCATGTCGTGGCAGAATACCCCTACAAGTGTCTGGTGAGTTTTTAAAGGTTATGTGTTCTGGACAGGTGTCATGCTCAACCATTATCCCACTGACTGAAGACTCTATCTCTTTCTCTCTCTCCTCCCTCTCTCCCCCTCAGGTAGAGATGTTGATTGCCATCAGCAGTGTGACCTCCCCCCTGCTCTTCTCAGCCTCAGGCTTCCTCTCCTGCAGTGTGCTTAGTTTCATTGACATCTTCCTGTATGAGGGGCCTACAACTAAGGTGAGCTGCCTAGTGCTCTGTGATAGATAGTCTGTGTACATGGGATGAGTTCAGTAGGACTGCCTCATGTCAGCCTCCAGCTCAAAGTCATTGTCACTTGTGAATCTAACGTTTTTGAGAAACATGATCAAGATATAACTAACGACTGTGCAGAAATGAAATGTAAAAACATACAGAGCTTTTCATGTGGTGTTATTAATTCAGATAGTGAGCAAATCCAACGTTTTGAGAAAGGGACATACAACATGTTTAAAACACAACATGTTCAAAACATACACTACCGTTCAAAAGTTTGGGGTCACTTAGAAATGTTCTTGTTTTCGAAAGAAAGGCAATTATTTTGTCCATTCAAATAACATCAAATTGATTGATCAGCACAGTTGAAAACTGTTGTGCTGATTAAAGTGTAGACATTGTTAATGTTGTAAATGGCTATTGTAGCTGGAAACGGCTGATTTTTTATGGAATATCTCCATAGGCGTACAGAGGCCCATTATCAGCAACCATCAGTCATGTGTTCCAATGGCACGTTGTGTTTGCTAATCCAAGTTTATCATTTTAAAAGGCTAATTGATCATTAGAAAACCCTTTTGCAATTATGTTAGCATAGCTGAAAACTGTTGTGCTGATTAAAGAAGCAATAAAACTGGCCTTCTTGAGACTAGTTGAGTATCTGGAGCATCAGCAATTGTGGGTTCGATTACAGGCTCAAAATGACCAGAAACAAATAACTTTCTTCTGAAACTCGTCAGTCTATTCTTGTTCTGAGAAATTAAGGCTATTCTATGTTAGAAATTGCCAAGAAACTGAAGATCTCATACAACGCTGTGTACTACTCCCTTCACAGAACAGCGCAAACTGGCTCTAACCAGAATAGAAAGAGGAGTGGGAGGCCCCGGTGCACAACTGAGCAAGAGGGCAAAGACATTAGAGTGTCTAGTTTGAGAAACAGAAGCCTCACAGGTCCTCAACTGGCAGCTTCATTAAATAGTACCCACAAAACACCAGTCTCAACATCAACAGTGAAGAGGCGACTCCGGAATGCTGACCTTCTAGGCAGAGTTGCAAAGAAAAAGCCATATCTCAGACTGGCCAATAAAAAGAAAAGATGCCCATTTCTCGCATGGAATAGCCTTCATTTCTCAGAACAAGAATAGACTGACGAGTTTCAGAAGAAAGTTATTTGTTTCTGACCATTTTGAGCCTGTAATCGAACCCACAATTGCTGATGCTCCAGATACTCAACTAGTCTCAAGAAGGCCAGTTTTATTGCTTCTTTAATCAGCACAACAGTTTTCAGCTATGCTAACATAATTGCAAAAGGGTTTTCTAATGATCAATTAGCCTTTTAAAATGATAAACTTGGATTAGCAAACACAACGTGCCATTGGAACACAGGACTGATGGTTGCTGATAATGGGCCTCTGTACGCCTATGTAGATATTCCTTTAAAAATCAGCAATTTCCAGCTACAATAGCCATTTACAACATTAACAATGTCTACACTGTATTTCTGATCAATTTGATGTTATTTTAATGGACAAAAAATTTGCTTTTCTTTCGAAAACAAGGACATTTCTAAGTGACTCCAAACTTTTGAACGGTAGTGTATATACTTAAAAACGTCCTACGGCGATTGTTGAACTTTTACTGTTGAAAAGTGATATCCCAAGTATAAATGCAGTAACTTACACACACTAAAGGGTAAAATAATATGTTTTGAGCAAAATAGTGTTTTTTAAACACAACTGCAAACTTCAAGGAGTAGGGCATTCAATGGGTTGGTCTGATGGGAATTTGTGATGTCATCGGCCTCCCCCTTGCTTGAGGAACAATAGAGGAGCAATAGACTTGTGCTATGTCATACTGGACCACCGATTGAGATGTGCCTTTTGTTAAGTAAATTTTTAATTTTTATTTTTTATTTCACCTTTATTTAACCAGGTAAACCAGTTGAGAACAGGTTCTCATTTACAACTGCGACCTGGCCAAGATAAAGCAAAGCAGTGCAATAAAAACAACACAGAGTTACATATGGGGTAAAAAAACATAAAGTCAAAAATACAACAAAAAATATATATACAGTGTGTGCAAATGTAGCAAGTTATGGAGGTAAGGCAATAAATAGGCTATAGTGCAGAATAATTACAATAGTATTAACACTGGAATGCTAGATGTGCAAGAGATTATGTGCAAATAGAGATACTGGGGTGCAAAAGAGCAAAATAAATAACAATATAGGGATGAGGTAGTTGGGTGGGCTAATTTCAGATGGGCTGTGTACAGGTGCAATGATCGGTAAGGTGCTCTGACAACTGATGCTTAAAGTTATTGAGGGAGATAAGAGTCTCCAGCTTCAGAGATTTTTGCAATTCGTTCCAGTCATTGGCAGCAGAGAACTGGAAGGAATGGCGGCCAAAGGAGGTGTTGGCTTTGGGAATGACCAGTGAGATATACCTGCTGGAACGCAGACTACGGGTGGGTGCTGCTATGGTGACCAATGAGCTAAGATAAGGCGGGGATTTGCCTAGCAGTGATTTATAGATGGCCTGGAGCCAGTGGGTTTGACGACGAACATGTAGTGAGGACCAGCCAACAAGAGCGTACAGGTCACAGTGGTGGGTAGTGTATGGGGCTTTGGAGACAAAACGGATGGCACTGTGATAGACTACATCCAATTTGCTGAGTAGAGTGTTGGAGGCTATTTTGTAAATGACATCGCCGAAGTCAAGGATCGGTAGGATAGTCAGTTTTACGAGGGCATGTTTGGCAGCATGAGTGAAGGAGGCTTTGTTGCGAAATAGGAAGCCGATTCTAGATTTAACTTTGGATTGGAGATTCTTTATGTGAGTCTGGAAGGAGAGTTTACAGTCTAACCAGACACCTATGTATTTGTAGTTGTCCACATACTCTAGGTCAGACCCGTCGAGAGTGGTGATTCTAGTCGGGTGGGCGGGTGCCAGCAGCGTTCGATTGAAAAGCATGCATTTAGTTTTACTAGTGTTTAAGAGCAGTTGGAGGCTACTGAAGGATTGTTGTATGGCATTGAAGCTCGTTTGGAGGTTTGTTAACACAGTGTCCAATGAAGGGCCAGATGTATACAAAATGGTGTCGTCTGCGTAGAGGTGGATCTGAGAGTCACCAGCAGCAAGAGCGACATCATTGATATACACGGAGAAAAGTGTCGGCCCAAGAATTGAACCCTGTGGCACCCCCATAGAGACTGCCATAGGTCCAGACAACAGGCCCTCCGATTTGACACACTGAACTCTATCTGAGAAGTAGTTGGTGAACCAGGCGAGGCAGTCATTTGAGAAACCAAGGCTATTTAGTCTGCCAATAAGAATGCGGTGGTTGACAGAGTCGAAAGCCTTGGCCAGGTCGATGAAGACGGCTGCACAGTACTGTCTATTATCAATCGCGGTTATAATATCGTTTATGACCTTGAGCGTGGCTGAAGTGCACCCGTGACCAGCTCGGAAACCGGATTGCATAGCGGAGAAGGTACGGTGGTGTTCGAAATGGTCGGTGATCTGTTTGTTAACTTGGCTTTCAAATACTTTCGAAAGGCAGGGCAGGATGGATATAGGTCTGTAGCAGTTTGGATCTAGAGTGTCACCCCCTTTGAAGAGGGGGATGACCGCGGCAGCTTTCCAATCTCTGGGGATCTCAGACGTTATGAAAGAGAGGTTGAACAGACTAGTAATAGGGGTAGCGACAATTTCGGCGGCTAGTTTTAGAAAGAAAGGGTCCAGATTGTCTAGCCCAGCTGATTTGTAGGGGTCCAGATTTTGCAGCGCTTTCAAAACATCAGCTGTCTGAATTTGTGTGAAGGAGAAGCGGGGGGGGGCATGGGCAAGTTGCAGCAGAGGGTGCAGAGTTGGTGGCCGGGTTAGTGGTAGCCAGATGGAAAGCATGGCCAGCTGTAGCAAAATGCTTGTTGAAATTCTCGATTATTGTAGATTTATCGGTGGTGATAGTGTTTCCTAGCCTCAGTGCAGTGGGCAGCTGGGAGGAAGTGCTCTTATTCTCCATGGACTTTACAGTGTCCCAAAACTTTTTGGAGTTAGTGCTACAGGATGCAAATTTCTGTTTGAAAAAGTTAGCCTTTGCTTTCCTGACTGCTTGTGTATATTGGTTCCTAACTTCCCTGAAAAGTTGCATATCGCGGGGGCTATTTGATGCTAATGCTGTACGCCACAGGATGTTTTTGTGCTGGTCAAGGGCAGTCAAGTCTGAGGAGAACCAGGGGCTATATCGGTTCTTAGTTCTGTATTTTTTGAATGGGGCATGTTTATTTAAGATTGAGAGGAAATTACTTTTAAGGAACAACCAGGCATCCTCTACTGACGGAATGAGATCTATATCCATCCAGGATACCTGGGCCAGGTCAATTAGGAAGGCATGCTCGCTAAAGTGTTTTAGGGAGCGTTTGACAGTGATGAGGGGTGGTCGTTTGACCGCGGACCCGTTACGGACGCAGGCAATAAGGCAGTGATCGCTGAGATCCTGGTTGAAGACAGCTGAGGTGTATTTAGAGGGTATGTTAGTCAGGATGATATCTATGAGGGTACCCATGTTTACGGATTTAGGGTTGTACCTGGTAGGTTCGTTGATAATTTGCGTGAGGTTGAGGGCATCTAGCTTGGATTGTAGGATGGCTGGGGTAAGTGAGGTGAAAAGGAGAGTGCCACATTAATTAATGACTCTGTGGTTATAACTCAGATGGCGTACCAATACAATATGTATGTGTGTCCCCCTAGCAATCGTATGACATCCTGATGCTGATTCTGATGTTGTTGCTGCTGGTGCAGGCAGTTCTGACTCTGGCCACCGTGGTGCACTGTGCCTCCTACAAGAACCAGCTCCGCATGGGGACTCCAGAGTGGGATGACAGCCTGCAGCTTCCAGCCCTCCACTTAGAGCTACACTACAAACACATACAGTACCTACTGTTTACACAGTCATGCAGATTCACATAGACATGATCTAGGACATACACTCTCCTATTGTGCTGCACACACTGCATACATCAGACTCTCTCTCTCTCTCTCTCTCTTTCTCTCTTCTCTCTCTCTCTCTCTCTCTCTCTCACTTTCTCTCCCTCTCTCAAATGCACACACATGCATGTACACACACACTCACACATGAGATGTTGTGCTCTATGACTAACTGATGAAGAGTCACTGATTCTTAGATAGACTGAGGTGAGAGATGTACCAGCTCTCTGGAAATGTCACTGACGTGTGAGGAGGACTGATGCTTATGTAGCACATGAAGATGTGGGAAACTTACTCCTCAGCCTTAAGTGTCCATGTTTACGCCGCTCAAGAGCTAGCTTTTGAGTGGCACGACTGGTATAGGCGCTTGAGGGTGGATGGTCACGTGTGTTTGTGAAGCAGAGGTCCCGGGTTCGAGCCAGGTATGTGCCGAATCGGGAGGAAGTGGTACTCGCTAAGCAAGCAGCGTGACGTCCTTTACACTTATGACTAAGCTGGTCATTCATGGAGTAACAGTATGTTGGTGCAGTGACGACGTGCAGACTGCAGTGACAAAAGCCTCTCTCTAAATTGTTTTTCTTTCTCATCAATCTACACACAATACCCCATAATGACAAAGCAAAAACAGGTTTTTAGAAATTTTTGCTAAAAATGTTTACATAAGTATTCAGACCCTTTACTCAGTACTTTGTTGAAGCACCTTTAGCAGCGAATACAGCCTCAAGTCTTTTGGGGTATGATGCTACAAGCTTGGCACACCTGTATTTGGGGAGTTTCTCGCATTCTTCTCTGCAGATCCTGTCAAGCTCTGTCAGGTTGAATGGGGAACGTCGCTGCACAGCTATTTTCAGGTCTCTCCAGAGATGTTAGATCGGGTTCAAGTCCGGGCTCTGGCTGGGCCGCTCAAGGACATTCAGAGACTTGTCCCGAAGCCACTCCTGCGTTGTCTTGGCTGTGTGCTTAGGGTCGTTGTCCTGTTGGAAGGTGAACCTTCGCCCCAGTCTGAGATCCTGAGCGCTCTGGAGCAGGTTTTCATGAAGGATCTCGCTGTACTTTCAAGTTTGGGATGGTTACATAAGACAGAAGGTTACTTAAGGCAAAAATGAGGTCGGGTGGGCGTACAACGTGAATGTCTAGCAACCCAAAGGTTGCGTGATCAAATCTCATGTCGGAGGATGCTATTCACGAGGACACATTGTTCTGTCTCACGATTCCCGAGCATAAAACGGCACAGGGGATGTTCAGTTGGCTGCGTGGCTATATTAACGAAAAACAGATTCCATGGTATCGAATGGTGGGCTTTTGCACAGATGGGGCTTCATCTATCACGGGATTTTTCGAATTGAGAGAGGAACTGTTGTCATTCACAATGGATGTAAAAAACGGACTTTGTTGACTTTCTGTGTAATGAAAAGAAAATGTGTCTCCTTGCCTATGTAACAGACATATTTTGGAAACTGAACGAACTGAACGCAATCATGCAGAGGAAATACCAAGAAAATCTACAGATGTGTGACCGAATCAGCGAAATACGTTTGACTGTGATCCTGGCTCAGTTGACATGCCGGTAAGTGAAATCGAACAGCTGATCGAGCTGTCATGTGACCGAATGCTGCAGACAACGCATTCACGGGTCACTATGGAGGAGTTTTGGTTCCTGACTCAAAGGGAATACTGTGCCGTCTCCCTCCGAGCATTACAACTCATGGTACGCTGATTCAGTGCTCTCGTCTGCATTAAAAACAAATATCGATCCAGGTTGGATGTGACAGGAGAGATGAGGTGCGCACTGTCAACCACACCCCCTGACTTTCAGAAGCTCCGACGTGACATGCATCAAGCAACACCCATCTCATTAGTGGTAGTGAGATAAGAGAAATTATGTCAGTCTAATTTGCAATTGACTGGCATAGACCCACATTAAAAGTATATGATGGTGAGTTGAGAATACAACCAGAAATACTGTTAGAATGTTTTGCAATTGACTGCCATAGCCCCAATTTAAAAAGTTAACATTGGCTGTTAATTACATAATAATTTTTCACATGGTTGGGGTCATGAGAATTTTTAGATATCAAAATGGGGTCGTGGGCCAAAAAAGTTTGGGAACCACTGCCTTAACTCTTTTAGCTAACCCTCCCCTAACCTTAACCCTTTCACCTAACTCCTAACCTTAACCCTAACCCCTAGCCTAGCTAACGTTATCCAGCTAGCTAATGTTAGCGTTGGCCACCTAGCCACTTAGCTAACGTTAGCAACAAGAAATTGGAAATCATAACATATCATATGTTTTGCAAATTCGTAACATATTCTACGTTTTGCAAATTCGGAACATATTGTAAGAATCACAATTCATAGCATATTGAACGAATTACAATTCATAACATATCATACGAATTGTAATTCATTACTTATCATCCGAAATGGATGATGGACATCCACAAATTAATACATACTGTAATGACCCAGCTGGTCATAAAGTAAAAGAGAGACGGGCACCAGGTGTACAGGCAGAACACAGGTTTATTCCTGAATGGGCTATTGTTCAGGCCACAGCCCACGCCGCTAAACCTCGAACGTACACAAATAAAACATGTCAAGTTAAGGGTCCCGAATAGAAGAGAGAGATATGAGACTTGTAACCCCTATTTAAGCATTCCAAAACCCCGCGGGATTACCCATCATACCCCCCCAACCTTTCCATCTGTCCCTGCATATTTAACCCCTGCTAGCACCCATGAGAACGATAACACACCCACGAACACAGAACACAATACCGGGTCGTTACATAGCCCCCCCTTTCTAAACCCTAGCCCCTAGGGTTACAAAACAAAATCCTTAAAACGACCCGGAGGTCGCATCAGTCTCTTGTGCCTCCCCTTGACTCTCACCGGTGGACCCCCAGAACACTCATCTGCCCCAATGTCATTTCCAGCGCCCTCCGAAGAGGCAGCCCCCGCCCCAGGCTCAGGTTGCGCTAGAGTCTCCTCGCTAGACTGTCCCCGTGTGCTCACATCAGAGTCCTCACTCCCATTCCCTACCGTTTTCCTCCCTCTGTAGGGCGCCAATCGGTCCCGGTGGACCACCACCTTCCTGCTCCGTGGAGGAACCTCCACCCGGTACGTCACCTCTTCCACTCTCTCTATCACCAGACACGGCCCCACCCAGGCACTGTCCAGCTTTGGGCACCGCCCCTCCTTGCGCGTGGGGTTGTGAAGCCACACGCGTTCACCCACTCCAAAGTGCCTCCTCTTAGCGCGTGAGTCAGAGTGGCGCTTTTGGTGCATTCCTGCGTTCTCGAGTTGCTCTCTTGCGAAGGTGTGAGCCGCTTCTAACCGGTTCTGCAGACGACGAACATAGTTCCCTGTCGTCGTTATCAGGAGGGTGGCCAAACGTCAGTTCGGCTGGGGTGCGCAACTCACGACCTAACATTAGTAGCGCTGGGGAGCACGCAGTTGATTCTTGAACAGCCGACCTACATGCCATAAGAATAAACGGTAAGTGGGTGTCCCAATCTCTCTGGTGTTTTGAGGTAACGATAGCCAGCTGTTGTGCTAATGTTCTGTTAAATCTTTCCACCAGCCCATCACTCTGGGAGTGAAGCGGAGTAGTGTGCGTCTTCTCCGCGCCTAACCGTCTACACAACTCTGAGAACACCCGTGACTCAAAGTTTCTCCCCTGGTCGCTGTGTATAGACTGTGGCACCCCAAACCGACTGATTATTCCCCCTACCAACGCATCAGCTACTGTTTCTGCCTCCTGGTCTGGGAGAGCGTAAACCTCTGGCCACTTGGTGAAGTAGTCCATAGCAGTTAGAATCCACCTGTTACCGCTGTCTGTGGTTGGAAACGGTCCAACTATGTCTACCCCCAGTCTCTCCATGGGCTCCCCTACTGGGAATTGTTGTAGGAGGGCGTGTGACTGACCTGGAGGTCCTTTCTTAGCAGCACACTCGTCGCACTGCCTGCAAAAGTCCTCCACATCCCTCCTGTGCCTGGCCCAATAGAAGCCTTTACGTACGCGCTTTAACGTTTTGGAGACCCCAAAATGCCCTGCGCCTACTCCCCCGTGAAGCTGCTGTAACACGCTCCCTTGCAGCCTTTTGGGAACCACTACCTGCCACGTAATTTCTCCAGTAGCTGGCTTTTTCCACCCCCTCTGGAGCACTCCCTCAGCCACTCTAAGGACTGAGAATTTAGCCCACAGTCCTTTGGTGACTGGTGATAGAGGGGCTACTTCCCCCCACGGCGGTCGTCTTCTCTCTTCCACCCACCCCAGCACAGGACGCAGCTCTGCGTCCTCCTCCTGGCGACGCCTCCACTCCCCGACGTCCACAGCCTCAAGCTCCCGGCACTCTGTCACCCTCAGCTGACTCACCGTGGCGGTGACTCCCTCCTCCATGCACAGTTCTCTCTCTCGCTCCACCCGTTTGGCGCAGTACCCACAGCCGTCCTCAGCACACGGGCGGCGGGACAAGGCATCTGCATTGCTGTGGCGAAGGCCGGCCCTGTGCTCCACCTGGAAGTCGTAGGGTTGCAGCTCCTCCAACCAGCGGGCGATCTGACCCTCTGGCTCCTTGAAGGAGAGAAGCCACTGCAGGGCGGAGTGATCCGTCCGCACCACAAACGGCAGGCCCCCCAGGTAGTACTTGAAATGGCATACTACTGCCACGACAGCCAAAAGCTCTCTCCTTGTCACGCAGTAGCGTTTTTCAGCCTTATCAAAGGTTCTGCTATAATAAGCTACTACGTGCTCCCCGTCAGAACCACGCTGAGCCAGCACAGCCCCCAAGCCCTCATTGCTTGCGTCGGTGTCCAGGATAAAAGGACGGTTCGGGTCTGGTGGGGACAGGACAGGGGCCTCCACCAGGGCACGTTTGAGGGCCTCAAACGCCCGCTGGTGCTCTTCGGTCCACTGAAAAACAGTGTCCTTCTTGAGAAGGTGGTTCAAAGGAGCTGCTATCCCCGCAAACCCTTTCACAAACCTACGATAGTAGGATGCCAGACCCAGGAAGCTCTTAACCTCTTTTTTTCCCCTTGGAACTGGCCACCCCCTCACAGCCTCCACTTTGTCTGGCATCGTGCTGATGCCCTCACCACCCAGCTGATGACCCAGGAATGCCACCTCCCTTTGCATGAAATGGCACTTTTGCGGGTGTAATTTTAGCCCCGCCCCCGAGATCCTCTCCAACACTCGCCTAAGTGCCCCCAGTGCCCCCCCCCCAAACGATGTGCCGTGCACCAATATGTCGTCTAGGTACACAATACACTCGTCTCTCGGAACCCCCGCCAGCACTCTGTCCATGAGCCTCTCAAAGGTGGCAGGAGCATTACAAAGCCCGAAGCACAGCACCTTGAACTGCCAATGGCCCCTATCCGTGGAGAAGGCAGTTTTTTCACGTGCCCCAGGCGAGAGGGGCACCTGCCAGTAGCCACTGCGCAGATCAAGGGAAGAGAACCACGAGGACCCTCTGACGTGGTCTAGCGACTCATCGATCCTCGGTATGGGGTAAGAGTCTTTAGTGGTGACAGAATTTAGGCCCCTGTAGTCCGCACAAAACGTAAGTTTACCCCCTTTCTTAGGCACCATGACGACCGGCGCGGACCATGGGCTATCTGATGGCTCAATGAAATCAGCCTGCAACATGTCAGCAATAGCTGTGGCTGCTGCTTCCCTCTTGGCAAGGGGAATGCGACGGGGCCGAATTTTAATGGGTTGGGTGTCCCCAGTGTCGATGTCGTGCTGAACCAGGTGCGTTTGCCCTACCTCATCCTCCCCCCAAGCGAAGCTATCTTTAAAGTCAAACAGCAGCTGCTTTAACTGTCTCTGTTGTCTCTCATCCAGACCTTGACAGTTTTTCAGCCACACAGCCTCAACGGCGTCGATAACTTCCTCCTTCCCCCCGTTGGGCTGATGGGGTGAAGGAGCCAGTGTGTTTTGAGCTACTGGGCTGCCTGTGCTTGCACCATTATGGGGAGTAAAGGTCGTTGCCGCCGGAGACAGCTGCTGGGATGGCACAACGACCAAGGGAGCAGCCGGGACGACCAGTGGAGTTTCGGCAAGCTTGGAGGAAGATGGAGGGACAACCCTGCCCCCTGCTGGCCCTCCCGAAGGCGACATTCCCACTGTGGGCCCCCCCGACAGCCTCAAAGTGCCCAAAGCTAAGTCCCACTGAGCCCCACAGTTTTTCAAAAAGTCAATTCCCAGTATACAGGGGTCCTGTACCGCTGCTACCCACACCGGACACCCCACAGTTCTCCCCCACACAGTCACAGACAACCGACACTTCCCTAACATGGGGGCTAGCTCCCCCGTGACAGTCCGTAGCTGGACAAGGGTCGGCTCCACCCGCACCCCAACAGGTAGTATGTCTGGTCTCACCAGGGTTACTGTAGAGCCCGTGTCGACCAGGGCCAAACATTCCACCCCCTCTACCTTGACGATGACATTGCAGAAGTCCCCAATGGTGGTACGTCCCACCACAACTACCGGACTAGGAAACACGGAGGCGGCTACACCCTGGGGAAGCAGGTCCCCACCCTCTTGCCTGCGCTGCTGGGTACCTCTTCTGCTTACTGTAGGTTCAGGGGCGGGGGGTGGGCCCGCGCTGCCCCCTGCGCGAGAACCCGCTGTCGTTTCCCTGGTGACGGGAGAATCTGCCACACTCCCGCTGAATGTGGCCAGGCTGGCCACAACCACAGCAGACAATGGGAGTTGAGCTGACACTGCGATGTTGTCTGGAGCCCCTCTCAATGAAAAGCGATGCGGTCTTGACTAACCCACCCAACTCGTCGACCCACTCTGGTTTGGTGACCCCCGGCACCCCGGCCGCCGCTGCTCTCACCTCTGGTTGACTGGCAACCTCCACTCTCACTCCCTCACCCCAGATCAGCTCCCTCTTCCTGGCTATCTCCACTGCAGCCCGCAGAGATGCTGGGTCCGCCATCTGAACATGCTTACCCAGTTCGGTGGGGGAGAGCGCTCTAATAAAACTGTCCCGTTCTAGCTCGTCTTGCACCCCAATCAGCATAGTTGCATAAGCCCGTCTGGTCAGGCTCAGAATACCACTTGCCAACGCCTTTAATGATTCCCCCTGAAGTCTCTTTTTGTTACTCAGTTCAATCCGCAGCATGTTGGGCTGTGCATCGCTGCCGAAACGTCCCCCCAATGCCTCCACTAGCGCACCGTAGTCGCCCCTCTCGTCTGGGGCTAGCGTTAGCAGGCATTCCGACGCCTCCTCTGCCAGGCTCAGGGCAAGCTGTAACCCTTTCGTCTCGTCAGACCACCTCCCGGCTCTAGCCAACAACTCGAATTGAGTGAAAAAAACTTCCCAATTACCTTGTCCATTGAACTTTGGAAGTTTAGCCGCTACCGTGGCTAATGGCAATAGGGCGCTGCCATTTCTGTTTACATAAGGAGGCCCAGCCATTTCCGCACGCGGTGACGTCGATATCTCCGTCGCCGTGAATCAATCAATCAATCAATTTTAATTTATATAGCCCTTCTTACATCAGCTAATATCTCGAAGTGCTGTACAGAAACCCAGCCTAAAACCCCAAACAGCTAGTAATGCAGGTGTAGAAGCACGGTGGCTAGGAAAAACTCCCTAGAAAGGCGAAAACCTAGGAAGAAACCTAGAGAGGAACCAGGCTATGAGGGGTGGCCAGTCCTCTTCTGGCTGTGCCGGGTGGAGATTATAACAGAACCATCCCAAGATGTTCAAAAATGTTCATAAGTGACAAGCATGGTCAAATAATAATCAGGAATAAATCTCAGTTGGCTTTTCATAGCCGATCATTAAGAGTTTGAAAACAGCAGGTCTGGGACAGGTAGGGGTTCCATAACCGCAGGCAGAACAGTTTAAACTGGAATAGCAGCAAGGCCAGGCGGACTGGGGACAGCAAGGAGTCACCACGGCCGGTAGTCCCGACGTATGGTCCTAGGGCTCAGGTCTCTCAGTTGGCTTTTCATAGCCGATCATTAAGAGTTGAAAACAGCAGGTCTGGGACAGGTAGGGGTTTCGTAGCCGCAGGCAGAACAGTTGAAACTGGAATAGCAGCAAGGCCAGGCGGACTGGGGACAGCAAGGTGTCATCATGCCCGGTAGTCCTGACGTATGGTCCTAGGGCTCAGCTTCTCAGAGAGAAAGAGAGAACGAGAGAATTAGAGAGAGCATACTTAAATTCACACAGGACACTGGATAAGACAGGAGAAGTACTCCAGGTATAACCAACTAACCCCAGCCCCCCGACACATAAACTACTGCAGCATAAATACTGGAGGCTGAGACAGGAGCGGTCCGGAGACACTGTGGCCCCATCCGAAGAAACCCCCGGACAGGGCCAAACAGGAAGGATATAACCCCACCCACTCCGCCAAAGCACAGCCCCCGCACCACTAGAGGGATATCCCCAACCACCAACTTACAATCCTGAGACAAGGCCGAGTATAGCCCACAGAGGTCTCCACCACAGCACAAACCAAGGGGGGGGCGCCAACCCAGACAGGAAGATCACGTCAGTAACTCAACCCACTCAAGTGACGCACCCCTCCCAGGGACGGCATGAAAGAGCACCAGCAAGCCAGTGACTCAGCCCCTGCAACAGGGTTAGAGGCAGAGAACCCCAGCGGAGAGGGGAACCGGCCTGGCAGAGACAGCAAGGGCTGTTCGTTGCTCCAGCCTTTCCGTTCACCTTCACACTCCTGGGCCAGACTACACTCAATCATATGACCTACTGAAGAGATAAGTCTTCAGTAAAGACTTAAAGGTTGAGACTGAGTCTGCGTCTCTCACATGGGTAGGCAGACTGTTCCATAAAAATGGAGATCTATAGGAGAAAGCCCTGCCTCCCGCTGTTTGCTTAGAAATTCTAGGGACAATTAGGAGGCCTGCGTCTTGTGACCGTAGCGTACGTATTGGTATGTACGGCAGGACCAACTCGGAAAGATAGGTAGGAGCAAGCCCATGTAACGCTTTATAGGTTAACAGTAAAACCTTGAAATCAGCCCTTGCCTTAACAGGAAGCCAGTGTAGGGAAGCTAGCACTGGAGTAATATGATCAAATTTCTTGGTTCTAGTCAGGATTCTAGCAGCCGTATTTAGCACTAACTGAAGTTTATTTAGTGCTTTATCCGGGTAGCCGGAAAATAGAGCATTGCAGTAGTCTAACCTAGAAGTAACAAATGCATGGATTAATTTTTCTGCATCATTTTTGGACAGAAAATTTCAGATTTTTGCAATGTTACGTAGATGGAAAAAAGCTGTCCTTGAAACAGTCTTGATATGTTCGTCAAAAGAGAGATCAGGGTCAAGAGTAACGCCTAGGTCCTTCACAGTTTTATTTGAGACGACTTTACAACCATCAAGATGAATTGTCAGATTTAACAGAAGATCTCTTTGTTTCTTGGGACCTAGAACAAGCATCTCTGTTTTGTCCGAGTTTAAGTAAAAGTTTGTCCGAGTTTAAAGTAAAAAGTTTTCAGCCATCCACTTCCTTATGTCTGAAACACAGGCTTCTAGCGAGGGCAATTTTGGGGCTTCACCATGCTTCATTGAAATGTACAGCTGTGTGTCATCCGCATAGCAGTGAAAGTTAACATTATGTTTTCGAATAACATCCCCAAGAGGTAAAATATATAGTGAAAACAATAGTGGTCCTAAAACGGAACCTTGAGGAACACCGAAATGTACAGTTGATTTGTCGGAGGACAGACCATTCACAGAGACAAACTGATATCTTTCCGACAGGTAGGATCTAAACCAGGCCAGAACTTGTCCGTGTAGACCAATTTGGGTTTCCAGTCTCTCCAAAAGAATGTGGTGATCGATGGTGTGAAGTCTGTTCTGGTCGAGCGGTGTGAAGGAAAACCCGCCCGTTCTGCCATCTTGCTGACTGACAATTTAACTTCCGCCATGTGGGTCTCCAGCTCTTCTACAGCCGTCGTCGCCTGACCCTCCCGACCGGGTACACCCGAGCCCACAACGGACACTTTGTCCGACTCTTCCTTAATATTCCGCCTCGCCCCGATCATCATGACCGTAGATGCGAGACACGCTAAAGCCAACCACAGCCTATACTGAAACAGCTAACTCGCCTAATCTCGATCTATCCCGTCGTTCGAAACCACTTCTGACACCAATGTAATGACCCAGCTGGGTCATAAAGTAAAAGAGAGACGGGCACCAGGTGTACAGGCAGAACACTGGTTTATTCCTGAATGGGCTATTGTTCAGGCCACAGCCCACGCCGCTAAACCTCGAACGTACACAAATAAAACATGTCAAGTTAAGGGTCCCGAATAGAAGAGAGAGATATGAGACCGTAACCCCTATTTAAGCATTCCAAAACCCCGCGGGATTATCCATCATACCCCCCAACCTTTCCATCTGTCCCTGCATATTTAACCCCTGCTAGCACCCATGAGAACGATAACACACCCACGAACACAGAACACAATACCGGGTCGTTACAATACCATACAAACGTGTCTCCGATTTACTTACAGAATAATAATAAATGCTCTGAGACAAGGTTGCAGCCACAACACATTGAATTGCTTTCTTGATCACCATTGCGATGCAGCAGTTGTAGAGAGGAAATCCTATATTTGGAAGCAGTTGTAATGCCTACATCACAAGGAAAGACTGATTGACTCACTGCTCCTCTCCTCCTGAAACGCAAGATAGAGACAGCTTCGTAGGCTAGCCTAGCCTATATGAGGAAATCCTCAGAAGCTTGCATCAGTGTGCCCAATTTTTTTTACTGATAATGTGAGACCTTTTATAAACGACATCCGAGGTGTCGAGTTTGTTCCTCTATCTAAAGATCACAACTCATTGTCTGGGTTTTCACAACACAGTCAAATGGACATTTAAATCAGGATTTGTCATTTCAATTTGTGCAAGGAGAGAGGAAGCAATGATTAGTAGAATCCTAATGCGTTACCTATCTCATCTTTGGTTCTGAGGAGAAGAGAGAGACAAAACCGGGAAGGGAGGGTGAGGACTGAGGAGGGGTAAAGGCAGAACAAACCGGTGTGCCCGGATACGCTCTGTAGCGGCTAGCCCGCACTGCAGTGACTCTTAGCACGCCGAGGATGCACAAGACCGGTGAGTACATTATATTTCCTGCTTGTGTTAAATGGGTGAATTTGAACACACAGTGGATTCTCGGGCTTGATCTATTCTCCTTATGGATGGACCGTGAATTCCCTGTGCCTGTCACTGATATGGACAGGTAGACTGCAGCTAATACATGTAGCCTATTGAATCTCACAGAGCTGAAAGTCTAATAAGAGTCCTTACTAAACCCGTCTTAGACTCACACCAGATCTTCAGCACCCCATCTACATTTCGTGAGCTGTCCACTGCACCAAGTGCTGAATTGGCGTGCACGTTAGTTGACTTGCAGCGGAGTTTTGTTTTGTGCACCGCTCCTTTGATGTAAGTAGCCAATAGCCTGTGGATGACTAGACAAACCTACAGTGCGGCATGTTTGAGAATGACTCTTGGACAATTTCACGAGATCAGTAGAGGAAACGCTATCATATCATATGATAGCCTGTATGTAGCATAACCACAATAGCTTAATTGCTCTGTTATTGTAGCATTTTGTTTAGCAACGGACTTGCATTTGGGGTAAGAGTAGCCTAACGCTATTGTTTGCAGGGTTAACTGTATTTTTAAGTTGGCTCAACCTGTCATTTGTGCACTTGAAAAAGGCAGATTGAATTGGCGTTATACCGGGGACTGTGCATTGTTGATGTGAAATGCCATGTTCACTTTACAACAGGAGTAGCTAGTTCGGAAGTTTTTGGACGGAGTCCAATCTATAAACTGATGCTCACTAATGCTCAAAATGACGAGGACCGTTGATAGTGCTTGAAAGATCACACAGTTTCACTCACTTTCCTTTAAACATATAGCCTACAGTGAATTGTGTTCACCTCTTCAGCAAAAGTGAGTCTGATTACACCAAGAGTGTCTGTCTGTGTAACAGGGACAGCCTTAACCAAACGTAGCATACGGTAGGACCGGCAACTGAATGTGGGCATCCCCTTTAAACACGTGTAGCAGGTCCAACTGTGGGGCATAATCTGTTGTTGGACAGGTGCCAAGGGCTCACCACTGCCAGAAGCTGAGTTTCTGAAATGAGATATCGTCTCCTACAAGACAAAATCGATTTAAAATTGGCAACTGTTGGTTGTAAACCAGATTTTTGGAACTGTTGGACAGACAATTACAAGAATCATCAGGTCATACATTTAGCCTACACCAGTCGCCTAGAGAATATTAGGATATTGTTTTATGTTAAGGACATTTTTGTGCCCAAGTAAAGCATGTTCAATAATGAAGGGACACAAATAATACATGTGCCACACAGAAGGGCCTTTCCCAGAATCAAGTATCCTGAAATGTAAATTAATTTGACAGACCCTTTCACCTACAGTATGTCTCAGGGCTTTCTCATTGTCTGATCCAAGGATCCCTCAAAGATCTTCAGAGTAGGACAGGGTGTTATCGATTGCTCCAGGGATGGTTGACAATGTTTCCCCTAGGTACAGATCTGGGACCAGCTTCCCATCCTCCAATCCTATCCTTAACCATTAGTGGGGGAAATGAAAAACTGACCCAAGACCAGCGTCTAGGGGAAACTTCACCCTACACCATTATCTATTCACACATGGTCAGTAGTCACTACCTATGACTAATGTTTCATGACTGGTGGCTTGACAAGTTTATATTTGATCTCACAATGATTGATTTATTCAAGATAATTTTACAGCAGATGAACTTCAGTCTATTCTACATATCACATCACATTATGCTCATATACACTCCATTTGTCATCATCATTTGTATCATGCATACACTGCAAAATGTAACGCTTGAGCGTATTCAACAGAAGATAAAAACAGAAACTGTATGATTGGAGGGCATAAAGGAGCATAATGCTCTCAAAAATAATATTAATGATTGGTCTTAGCTAGGGGCATTTTATTGAGTAGGTCATGATGCTAACAATCCAGTTAGTAGGCAGGTTTCCTGTCCCTCTATCCCTGCACAATGCAATCACTACAGTCTCCCTTCCACTCCATCTGCAGACTGTACGGGCCTGCTTCTGTGTGGCACAAGGCATATGGAAATTTATGCCAGATTGATAGAGAATGAGAAGAAGCGAGAAAGAGATGGAAAGAAAAAGAGATGGAAAGAGAGGGAGAGTAAGATGGAGAGAAAGAAAGAGATGGAAGGGGTGTGTGTGGTGGGGTGAATGGGGACGATGTGATCACACTCCTCTCTAAGGACATTCATGTAACCTTCCTGTAGTGTGCATGCAGCAGCAGCAACCCCCTCCTCACTTGCAGAGTGCAGTAGTAGCAATGAGACACACACGCATACTGTTCACACAAACACACACACACACACACATGCACATCTGCACAAACACACACACACACAGCATAAAGCAGCATCCCCCTGACAGGTGTCCTGGATTCTGACATTTCAAAATCCACAGGTTTGACAAAGTGTTCAATAAAGATAATGATGTCTCACAGCTCCATGGGAAATGGTTTCACTGTAACACTGAATTACCAGAACATGAGCATAATGTCATATGACTAACGATTACATCACTGATATGAATCTGAATCTAATAATATTGATGGACTTTTTTGGTACCATGTTTGGGAAAAACGGCATATCCTTGTACTCAGTAGTGCAGAAACGTTTTTTTTAAGGCTTTTCAAGGTCCTCTTTTTTTTCATCAGAGCGGGTGACATCGCCTTCAGAGTCCTTGTCCAATCAAAGGCAAATATCCCCCACAGATGTGACCACACTGACACACTTCACTGGCAACTGAGCCCCCACTACTACTACTGATGTTGAAATCAGGTGCAATTTAGGTGCTGAATGAAAGGTGAAAATATGTATTTTCCGGATGTAAAAAATACGTATTTTCCGGATGTCTAAAATAATATTTTCCGGACTTCGAAAATACGTAATTTACAGACATTGAAAATCCGTATTTTTCAGTCAATGATTCTATGGCCAAATTTCTGCACATACATTCTTTCTAGCCTCTTAATATAGGAAAGAGGAGCCAACTGAAGATTGTGGCAGAATATTTATTATTGCTCCCATCTGTCAAATGCACTTATGCTAGCTTTTCAAAGCATTCCAACCTACAGAATAAATCAACAGACCACTTCAACTACAATAGCATTCTCAGTAGCAGTAAAAAAAATCTTGCTATGACTGTGATATGTTGTTGTTTATCTACCTTAGCTCTGGATAAGAGCGTCTGCTGAATGACCAAAATAGAAATTTAAAAACAAAGACTTGCAAAGTATGCCGGGTATTATTCTAATGAGCTCCGTCCCCAAACAAGTACACATTTGGTCGGTGTGGACCAGATCAAAATCTGAACGAATCATAGACCTCTAGGCTATGTTTCACAAGTTTGAACATCACAGTACGGCACAGTTTAGTACAGTAGAGCACAGTAGAGTACAGTACAGTGCGGTACGGTACGGTACGGTATAGGATAGTAGAGTTTATTTCAGTAGAGTACAGTAGAGTACAGTTTAATTCAGTAGAGTACAGTACAGTACAGTTTAGTTCAGTAGAGTACATTAGAGTAAAGTAGGGTACAATACAGTACACTATACTTTACTTTTCTTTTCCATACTGTACTCTGCTGTGCTCTATTGTACTGTCCTGTCCAAACTTGTGAAACATACACTAACGTTCAAAAGTTTGGGATCACTTAGAAATGTCCTTGTTTTCGAAAGAAAAGCAATTTTTTTGTACATTAGAATAACATCAAATTGATCAGAAATACAGTGTAGACATTGTTAATGTTGTAAATGGCTATTGTAGCTGGAAACGGCTGATTTTTAATGGAATATCTCCATAGGCGTACAGAGGCCCATTATCAGCAACCATCAGTCCTGTGTTCCAATGGCACGTTGTGTTTGCTAATCCAAGTTTATCATTTTAAAAGGCTAATTGATGATTAGAAAACCCTTTTGCAATTATGTTAGCACAGCTGAAAACTGTTGTGCTGATTAAAGAAACAATAAAACTGGCCTTCTTGAGACTAGTTGAGTATCTGGAGCATCAGCAATTGTGGGTTCGATTACAGGCTCAAAATAGCCAGAAACAAATAACTTTCTTCTGAAACTCGTCAGTCTATTCTTGTTCTGAGAAATGAAGGCTATTCTATGTGAGAAATTGCCAAGAAACTGAAGATCTCGTACAACGCTGTGTACTACTCCCTTCACAGAACAGCGCAAACTGTCTCTAACCAGAATAGAAAGATGCGTGGGAGGCCCCGGTGCACAACTGATCAAGAGGACAAATACATTAGAGTGTCTAGTTTGAGAAACAGACGCCTCACAGGTCCTCAACTGGCAGCTTCATTAAATAGTACCCGCAAAACACCAGTCTCAACATCAACAGTGAAGAGGCAACTCCGGATGCTGACCTTCTAGGCAGAGTTGCAAAGAAAAGCCATATCTCAGACTGCCCATCTTAATCTTTTATTTTTATTGGCCAGTCTGAGATATGGCTTTTTCTTTGCAATTCTGCACCAATTATAGATGTCTATGTTTGGGCCAAATCAAGGCCGGTCCGGACCGGACTAAATCTGGACCAATTATAGACGTTTATGTTTGGGCCAAATATAGGCCGATCCGGACGTCTGTGGATGTTGAAATCAAGGCTGGTCCAGACCGGACAAAATCTGAACCAAACGCGGACGTCTATGTTTGGTTCAGATTTGGTCCAGTCCGGACTGCACCAAAAAAATACAAAAAAGACCGGTTCAGACAGGACAAAAAAAAGACGTTGCTGTTGATAAAAGCTTAGTGGGGAGTGTGTACAACAGGAATTCAGCTGCATACAGTGACGCAGAACACTGGATAAAGTACCTTTGAGATGATGTACCTGAGTGGTGTACCTGAGTATGGTGTTGGTTAGAGAGATAATCTCAACCAGATGATTTACTTGAACTAAACTGTTGGATTTATTTTCAGTGTTTACTGAGCTAGTGTTTTGTTATTGCTCTCTCTTTTAGCAGAAAAGGCCAACATTTTGCAAGTGTACAGTCGTGGTCAAAAGTTTTGAGAATGACACAAATACTAATTTTCACAAAGTTTTGATGATGGCAATTTGCATATACTCCAGAATGTCATGAAGAGTGATCAGATGAATTGCAATTAATTGCAAAGTCCCTCTTTGCCATGAAAATGAACTTAATCCCCAAAAAACATTTCCACTGCATTTCAGCCCTGCCACAAAAGGACCAGTTGCCATTATGTCAGTGATTCTCTCGTTAACACAGGTGAGAGTGTTGAAGAGGACAAGGCTGGAGATCACTATGTCATGCTGATTGAGTTAGAATAACAGACTGGAAGCTTTAAAAGGAGGGTGGTGCTTGAAATCATTGTTCTTCCTCTGTTAACCATGGTTACCTGCAAGGAAACACGTGCCGTCATCATTGCTTTGCACAAAAAGGGCTTCACAGGCAAGGATATTGCTGCTAGTTAGATTGCACCTAAATCAACCATTTATCGGATCATCAAGAACTTCAAGGAGAGAGGTTCAATTGTTGTGAAGGCGTCAGGGCGCCCAATAAAGTCCAGCAAGCGCCAGGACCGTCTCCTAAAGTTGATTTAGCTGCGGGATCGGGGCACCACCAGTGCAGAGCTTCCTCAGGAATGGCAGCAGGCTGGTGTGAGTGCATCTGCACATGACCAGCTCTGGCCTTGAGACCGCCAGTCCTGTGTGAGTTAGTGTGTAACAGTGTGAGTGGATGTAGCTAGGATGAGGGGAAGACATTTGCAGGATGGCCTGGTGTCTAGAAGGGCAGCAAAGAAGCCACTTCTCTCCAGGAAAAACATCAGGGACAGACTGATATTCTGCAAAAGGTACAGGGATTGGACTGCTGAGGACTGGGCTAAAGTCATTTTCTCTGATGAATCCCCTTTCCGATTGTTTGGGGCATCCGGAAAACACCTTGTCCGGAGAAGACAAGGTGAGCGCTACCATTAGTCCTGTGTCATGCCAACAGTAAAGCATCCTGAGACCATTCATGTGTGGGGTTGCTTCTCAGCCAAGGGAGTGGGCTCACTCACAATTTTGCCTAAGAACACAGCCATGAATAAAGAATGGTACCAACACATCCTCCGAGAGCAACTTCTCCCAACCATCCAAGAACAGTTTGGTGACGACCAATGCCTTTTCCAGCATGATGGAGCACCTTGCCATAAGGCAAAAGTGATAACTAAGTGGCTCGGGGAACAAACCATCAACATTTTGGGTCCATGGCCAGGAAACTCCCAAGACCTTAATCCCATTGAGAACTTGTGGTCGATCCTCAAGAGGCGGGTGGACAAACAAAAACCCACAAATTCCGACAAACTCCAAGCATTGATTATGCAAGAATGGGCTGCCATCAGTCAGGATGTGGCCCAGAAGTTAATTGACAGCATGCCAGGGCGGATTGCAGAGGTCTTAAAAAAGAAGGGTCAACACTGCAAATATTGACTCTTTGCATAAACTTAATGGAATTGTCAATAAAAGCCTTTGACACTTATGGAATGCTTGTAATTATACTTCAGTATACCATAGTAACATCTGACAAAAATATCTCATAACACTGAAGCAGCGAACTTTGTGAAGACCAATACTTGTGTCATTCTCGAAACTTTTGATCACGACTGTAGTGAGTTTAATGCAGATATAGTCTGTTTCTTGACTAATTGTAAATCCAACCTAGTCTCAAAGCATTTCGTATTATTCTGTATGTAAATCTGGGACACTCCATTTAGTATGACATATTACGTTTCGTATGGTTACATTAAACAGATGGTTAGTTAAGGCAAAAACAAAAGTAGGGTGGTTGGTTGGGGTGGATGGATGGAAGGGTGTATAACACAAACGTCTAGCAACCCAAAGGTTGATAGTTCAAATCTGATAACGGACAACTTTAGCATTTTTGCTAATTATAAACTTTTCAACTACTTACTACTTTTTAGCTACTTTGCAACTACTTAGCATGTTAGCTAACCCTAACCGTAACCCTTTTAGATAACCCTTCACCTAACCCTAACATTAACCCTATAACCTAAGTCCTAAACTTAACCTTAACCCTAACCCCTAGCCTAGCAAACGTTAGCGTTCTAGCTAATGTTAGCCACCTAGCCACCTAGCTATAATTCGTAACATATCATACTTTTTGCAAATTCCTAACATATAGTACGTTTTACAAATTCGTAAAATATTGTACATTTTGCAATTTCATTACATATAATATGAATTGTAATTCATAACATATCATGTGAAATGGCTGGGAATTGTCATTCGTAATATTTCATACGAAATGGTGATGGACATCCACAAATTAATACATACCATATGAAACGTAATATAACATACTAAATGGAGTGTCTCGGATTGACATACAGAATAATACGAAATGCTCTGAGACCAGGTTGGTCAATCTGTCTTTTGCAGGAAGATGGAATCGGTGTAGGTATCCCTATTGATCTGGGTATACTATAAATCCATACAAACTCATCCACCGGAGACCACACTCTTTGAGAACTGAGAGAAAGATAATCTATCCTTCCTTTTACCTGACACACTGTGTGTGGACCAAGGCCAGGTAAAAGTGAGAGAGGACAAAAGCACAGAATGTACACAGCAAAACTGGAACCCACTGTAAACCACTGACTGAACACAATGTCCTTCCTCAGTGAGGGAAGAGACAGTCAATAACCATCAATCTGTCTCACTCACCGTCAGTGAACATACCCAAGACTGTCCATCAAAACCCAGTTGTTCCTGCCGCCACCACATGACCAGCTCTGGCCTTGAGACCGCCAGTCCTGTGTGAGTTAGTGTGTAACAGTGTGAGTGGATGTAGCTAGGATGAGGGGGCAGGAAGTGGGAGGTCCCACTTACAGTCAGTGAAAATCCCAAGACACCCAAGAGACTGTCCATCACATCAAGACCCAGCCATTACTGACTTTACATAACCACATAACCAGGACTGGCCTGGAGACAGCCAGTCCTGTGTGTGTGTGGAAGTATCCCAGTGTGTGTGAGTGGGTGGAGGTATCTAGGAGGAGGAGGAGGGGGTGACCGTTGTCTTCTCAGGCCGGATGCAGAACATCCTTGAGCAGAACTTAGACATGGCCACGGCTCTGCTGGCGGGGGAGAAGCTGAAGGAGCTGATCCTGCCTGGCTCTTCCCAGGATGAGAAGGGAGGAATGCTGGCCGGCCTCATGGTCCAGCTCAAACTGGAGCTACCATTTGACCGCGTCGTCACCATCGGCACCGTCATCATACCCATCCTGCTCGTCACTCTCGTCTTCACAAGGAACTTTGCAGGTCAGTGGGTCGGCCAGACGGCAGACCTGGCTTCAACTATTATTTGAAATAAAATACTTTAGTTGTGCTTGTCTGGGGCAATTTAACCAGTAGAATAGTTGCAAAAGTGCAAGCCCGCCCCCTTTGGCACTCCAGGCAGACTAGAGCAAAAGCTCAAAATATTTACAATATTTCGAATAGTATTTGAACCCAGGTCTGGCAGACGCCAATAGCGGGGGCTGTGACAGTGCTATGCTGACAGTGCTATGCTGTAAACACCAAACACACCCAGCAGGTTGGGAAGGGAACTGTATGTCCTAACGTGTTGTTGTTCACTCACATTACATCAGCCTCTCACTTTTCACTGAACTAGAACACAGATACTAGTAGTCAGCTGTAGTAGCTTTATGTTATTCATACTATGGCATTGGTATATTTAAAAATCAACAACAAAGGTTTCTCTCACAGACAAAGCCCCAACAACATTGGCATTCGAATGTCTAACATAAAAGGAGGACATTATCCTGAATAGTTTTGTTGTGCTCTATTGGTGCTTTTCCACTGAGACTTACCCCCACACCAGGTTGTCACCATTGTTTTATGTTAATGTGAGCTCTAGTGTTATTGTGTTTCCATCAGGAGTGTGACACTAAAGACTTGTGGTGAGCAGAATCAACAACCTCATTCATGACTGTTGGTTTGTGAGAAGGTGTTAATGTTCACAGTTAGCCATTGTTATGTAAATGAGCGCTGAAAAGTGCCCAGGGCCTTAGCTCCAAGACAGAGTAGGTCCGCCGGAGCCATGGCCCAGTGAGACACGGGGGCCGGCCCGCGTCGATGGAAACAGAAAAGTCGGAGCCTTTTAGGGAAAACACTGGGGTAAATCCTCAGACGAAATGCACCATATGTTATTTGAATGATAGAACTTCATAGAGAGATCTGGGAAATGTAGGGTTAAGTATGCTGTGCTTTTGGTATTTGGTGTGAGAGAGATCAGTGCAGAGATTAGACTGGGCTACTGTAGTGAACAGAGAGGAGAGAAGAGAGAAAGGAAAGCTCAATGCTGAGTCAGGCTGTCTGCATAGCAGGACAAACCAGCTGTGATTGAGCATTTCACTTAGCACCGGGCGGGAGGGACTGGTCCGGGAGAGGATGGGATTGGGTGGGAGCCCATCTCTGCATTCTCTGCACTGCTCCTCCTCAAAACTCCAAAACATGGGTTGCCCACGGGACCCATTTGATAGGCCCCACAAACCTCTGAAGTGCCATGGCAGCAACCGATGACAGCATTGCAATGTGCACTATATTACATTTATGTACAATACAATACAATACCTATTGTATTGTTGTCATTGGTTGCTACCCTTAAATTGAACAAATTCTGGTGGATTTAAGTCTCAGGCAAAGTCCAATACCAAATGAAGGAGCCTACAGGCCAAATATGAACGTGTGCAAATTTGAAGAACAATAACATAAACTTTCTCAAGCCAGAAAAACCAGACACGGTACCCACCCCAGCCACCAGCCACCTGGCTCAGCGCTCTGCAGTCAGTGTGTAATGTTCTCATGCTCAGTTCAACACTCATTAAATGAAAGTCACAAGTGCACCTCAGGGCCAGATGCACCCCATAACCTCCCAAACCTTGGCAGTTGGCCGCCGAATGGCCTTGCTGCTACCATGCTCAAGTATAACAGGGAAAGAATGGATGGAATACAAGTGTGGCTTGAAGTGATGCCTCCTCCTCAGTCTCCTCTGCAGACGGTTTTATACAATGAATCAGCACTTTCACTATCAGAGGGATGAGGCATTCCTTTGTCTTCCAGAGAGTAATGAAATCTGAGAAGTCTTGGAATGGATCAATGGTATTTCCCCCACATAGGAAACATCTATAAAATCAACATTATACTGACTGTTAGAGGAAAGTTTGACAATTCAATTGAACTAATTTTTTATTAATTTGATTCACTTACTGTAAATAGATTACAAATGTCCATTACCCTCAGTCATGTTGTAATGTTGTCTGATTATGAGGCAAACTCTCTCCATCTTTTCCCCTCTCAGAGGAGTCAATCTACTGCTACACGCCTCACAACTTCACCCGTGACCAGGCCCTGTACGCACGAGGCTACTGCTGGACAGAGCTGCGTGACGCCGTGCCCGGGGTGGAGCCTGACCTTCGACCTTCGCTGTTTGAGCACAAGTTCCTACCCTACGCCCTGCTGGCCTTCGCCGGCATCATGTACATCCCTGCTTTGGGCTGGGAGTTCATGGCCTCCACAAGACTTACCTCCGAGCTCAACTTCCTGCTTCACGAGATCGACAACTGCTACCACCGGGCTGCTGAGGGCCGGGCACCTAAGATCGAGAAGCAGATCCAGTCCAAAGGACCAGGTATCACGGAGAAAGAGAGACGAGAGATCATCGAGAACGCAGAGAAGGAGAAGAGCCCCGAGCAGAATCTGTTTGAGAAGTACCTGGAGAGGCGAGGCCAGAGCAACTTCCTGGCCAAGCTGTACCTTGCGCGCCACCTGGCCATCATGTGCCTCAGCTCCATCCCCATCTCCTACCTGAGCGCCTACTGGCACCGCCAGCGCCAGAACGAGTTCAGCTGTGCCCTGGGGGAGCCTCCAGACTCTAGCAGCATCCCTGAGCTGAGGCTCAGCGTCAACTGCAAACTGCCAGCCGTGCAGCTGCAGCGCATTATGGCCGCCGTAGACATCGCCCTGCTGAGCACCATGAACCTTGTCATCCTGATCAACCTACTGCACCTGTTCGTGGTGCGGAAGTCCAACTTCGTGTTCGACAAACTGCACAAAGTGGGCATCAAGACGCGGCGGCGCTGGCAGAAGTCCCAGTTCTGCGACATCAACATCTTGGCCATGTTTTGCAACGAGAACCGCGACCACATCAAGTCACTCAACCGGCTGGACTTTATCACCAACGAGAGCGACCTCATGTATGACAATGTGGTGAGGCAGCTGCTGGCCGCCCTGGCCCAGTCTAACCATGATGCTACGCCCTCTGTGAGGGACTCGGGCATCCAGACCCTAGACCCCAACATGGACCCCTCTCTCTTGGGGGTGGGAGAGCTGGGAGGGGAGCCGCTGGTCATCAAACGACCACGCAAGAAGATGAAGTGGATCCCCAGCTCCAACCCCCTCCCTCAGCCCTTTAAGGTAGGTCCCCATACATAGGTGGCCTAAATGCTGCCTGCCACAGGTTTGCCTAAACATCAGACTGTTACCATGGTTACCCCATTGATATTCAGTCTGAAAGAAGTCTGCCTAAAAAAGACGCAAGTCTACAAGTCAGAATGTTGAGTAAAATGATATTTACCTTCACCGGTTGTCCGTGCTGTTGGTCCTTTTATTTAATTTTTTTATTTCACCTTTATTTAACTAGGCAAGTCAGTTAACCCTCCCGTCGTCCTAGGGTCAAAATGACCCGCCACTGTGTTGAACCAACTTTATTTAATTTTTATATTTTTTGGATCATTTGTGAGAAGGAGGCAGTGATACTTTCTTTAAAGTCTCACTGCCTCCTTCTCACAAATGATCCCAAAAATATAAAAATTAAATAAAGTTGGTTCAACACTGTGGTGGGTCATTTTGACCCTAGGACAACGGGAGGATTAAGAACAAATTCTTATTTACAATGACGGCCTACACCGGCCAAACCCGGACGACACTGGGCCAATTGTGCGCCGCCCTATCCCAATCACGGCCGGTGGTGATACAGCCTGGAATCGAACCAGGGGGTCTGTAGTGACGCCTCAAGCACTGAGATGCAGTGCCTTAGACCGCTGCGCCACTCAGTAGGAGGTGGAGATAGGGTATCCACAGGAAAGTGTTGTTTACCCAATTTATTGAGGTTCTATTTTCAATCTCCTGACGCAATGTAACCGAACGTAGTCAACCGAAGCACGTTTCCTCGCAATCAGCTGGAAGCGTTTGTGAAATTTGACAGCTGATTGCGTGGGACAACGTTCACTCTGTGGTTCGGTTAGATTCGGCCATATTGTGCAAGTGTTTGTCGCATGCAAAAAAACGATATACAGACCAGCGTACTGAAGGTCGGGTTGATAACGCTTCCTTGTGGATATTTTGTCTCACATTACCTCTGACATAGGAACAAAATTGGCGGACAACAGGTAAAGTAAGTTGAAATGAAGTTTTTTCAACATTCTGACTTGTAATGGGACTGTTTGTGAATGCTGAGCCTACATGTTAGAGATGAGACTGTAAGTATTTAATTATCTGATTCTAAAAGAGGGTAGCCACAGGTCTGCATATTCTGGCCAATTATCATGGGCTGGAAATGCGATCTGTTTGTCTAAAGCTGAATTACACATAGTAGGCTGTCTATTTATGTTATGACTAATTACCACCAAATGAAAAAAGGATATTCCTGATTTCCAACCCAAATTAACTGATATTTGATTCATCTTCTCACACTAAGAAACCAACCTGTGGATTTCCTTCCGGTTAATACCTTAGTTAATCTAAATTAATATGCAATAAAATAGTCCTCACCCACCGTGCAGAAAAACCAAAGCACCACTTACTGTAGAGTGGGTTTGCTCAGTGGACTAGAACAATACCTGCGATATTCGTATCAGCATTTATTGAGAAGACTTTACATGATTTCCGATTGAAAAGGCCCTCAGAGAAATGAGGCCCTCAGCAAGAGATGGTACCGAGTTTTTTCAATTACAACTTTCTAAAGGCAGAGAACCTAATCGGTTTCAATCATAACTAACAATGTTATATTACCGTTTAAGGGATTGTTCACTTTTTAAGTTTGAGCTTTTTTGCAAATTATCTAGGGTCTTGTCGTTTCATCCCAACCATTTAAAGTTTGTTAAAACCAGAGGTAAACCTTAGTAAGTCGGAAAAAAACCTTGGTGAAATAAGCTAAAACTTCACAAGAGTGAACAATCCCTTTAATGGTCTAATTCTACTTGGGATAATTGTACTAACTGTCCATGTCTGTCCATTGTGAAGGAACCTCTGACAATGACGCGTTTGGAGAACAGCACTAAGACTGAGAAGCCCAAACCGGTGAGGAGGAAACCAGTGGCAGAGCACTATGTTGCTCCATTAAGCAAGAGCACACAGTACCCACCCTCTGCCAAAGGTACTGTACTGAGAGCAGTGACATTACTGTAGAAAATAATGGTAATAGAAAGTTGAGTAGGCTAACATACATTTTATGGTTACTCTATTTTGGATATTTGACTAAAACTGCTATTTCATAGAAAAGTGCTTCAGGAATGCCACATACTGTAAATAAAGTTGTGCAACTTGTGCACCATTTGGTCCTGCTATTGTGTTCTATCCCCCCTTACCATATCTGTTGAATGCCGACTGCAGATATGAGCGCAATGGAGAAAAAGCACAGTCGCAACTTTACCCTGGATGTCCACCCATACATGCTGACCATCCGTAAGCCCACCAAGGTAGAGACAGTCAGCACAGAGCCTCTGCCCCCTGACCACACCCTGGACTCTGTGTTCATCGAGGGCACACACACCATTGTCCATGTCTCTGCTTCTATCACAGGTAAGATTGCCATGCCTCATCTCAGGAGGGATCTGTCACCAAGGCAACCAAATCTTATTCTATATATTCCTGTCTCCCCTGATTATTTTTGACATTTTAGAGAAAGGAAAGAAAGGAGAGAACTGAGAAAAAGCCAACTCTAACAGAATGCTTAACGTAATGCAATGGTGACCCAGAGTTTGCAATGATGACCCAGTTTTTCATGACCACTTCGTCCTTATAGGTTACAAGTAGGCTATAACTAGGGTCTAAAGTTTTTCCTGGTTAGGTCATGTGGTCAGGAAAAAAACTATGGGCCTGTGTACAATATCTCTCTCTCTCTCTCTCTCTCTCTCTCTCTCTCTCTCTCTCTAGAAAAGAAAGATCGCACCCCAGAGTCCACCAACACGGTCTTCTCTACAGTGACCGTCCCCACCAGCATCTATCTGAACGGTGCCACTCCCAACCCACCCTCCCTCGCTGACTGCCACTCTACAGATTCGCTGATCAAACAAGAGGAGCCTGATGCCCAGGCTGCAGTCTTCACTCGGATCCCTTCCCACCAGCTTATAAGTATGCACCAGATACTCAGTATGGAGGAAGAGGGAGCAGGAGGCCAGGGGGCCAGACTGGCTGAGAGACCCGGGGGGGAACTAATCGCTGCTGGGGAGTCCTGAGGAGGAGACACACACGTCCCCCCTCAAAACATTTCCCCAAACACAGCAATATGTACTCACCACTACCATGCCAATCACTGTCTGCCTATAGAAAAACCACCTTGTCCCCCTGTGCTCACAACTTACTACTTCTCTGGTGAAGGGACTGAGTGAGGGTGCCGATGGTGCTGAACCATAATTTTTAGCTGGAGTGATGAAGATTTAATAAGATGCAGCAAAAGAGTGGATACTGGTTCAATGTGTGCTGATAAACCCAGTCATCTGCTGTAACTTTCTCCGCACTTGATTTGTCCAGAATGGGGAGCAAGGAGACTTTGTTGAAATGCAGACAGCATTTGGTGCTCATATCTTGGAGAGGAAGCAGCTCATATTACATAACCTAGGAATGAGAAAAGGGAAGGTGGAATGCAAATACATACCGTTTGGTTTGAAGCTTTTTACACACATTTTAGTAAAGCACACCATGTAAAAGACTGCTTCACCAACAGCTACATTATGAAAACATGTTTATAAAAACATTAATATTATTGCTTATTGTTCCTCTATCCATGTATACTGAAAGCCCATGCAATACATGTTTAAAATCTGCACTGCAATATATGCAAAATAATATGCAATAATGTATACACTTCCAATTTACAATACATTTTACATACTGTAAATCATCTATGGACTGTAGCCCTATATCGGTTGTTGTGGTGCGCTTCACACATAAATGTTCCATTAGTTAATCAGTGTCATTTGACCACACAGAAGACAGAGGAGGCGAAGTGAGAATGCACCTACCTTACTGAAGATTGGGCTCAGAAGTTGCAATCTGTAACTTTAATTTTCTCAGTGGCACACAGACCTATCCAAGAAGTGAAACAAAAACAAAATGGATACATTTGTTTTAGTTCTCCTTGTCGTGATATCTCTAATTAACTAACTATGTTTCATTGTTACCCGATTAAATGAATCATGTAACAATTAACTAATTGGGATCTGGGGCACCATGAGAGAGGTTCTTTAAAGAGTTACCATCTCCTGAATTAAATCTAAAAGGTCTTTACCTATCACATCTATAAAAAGTCAACGTATTAATGATAACCTCGTATCATATCATCATTCTGAACAGTCATAACCACCTTGCATCTGCAAAAACCCGAGCCTTACTTTTGATTCAATACTACACAAATTGTTTTAATGATTTATTTACTAGCTAATTAAATGGGAACACAGGATAAACATACACACTCTGCACTGGTTATTGACTGGAGAAAACAGGTCCCTAGTGGAATGACAACAACATGGCTGCTTGTTAAAAATAAGAACTGGAGAGGGACAGAGAGAGGGACAGAGACACTTTAACTTGATACATTCAGAAACTACGCTCACCTACAGTACCCATATACTTTGCACATGAACCGCCACCCACTTTGAGTAAGAAATCATGAATGTATTTACGTGAAATGCCTTGGTTCGCCGAGAATCTCTCGGTGAACCGGACCGCCTCGTAAGTCTCTTATTGTCCGAAATGGTTCCAACAGTCTTCTACTGTTGTCTTTCTTCTGGGTTGTCCGGTCTCTGATAACTTGTCATGTAGTCCTGAACAGAACTACAGAATTGATTTTCCTTCCATTTGCTCTTGAAGTTGCTTCTTTGAAGATTGGCTAGCCAGCCGTATCGATGGTTCCCCAGTGGGGTGATGAGAGTAGAGTAATACGATAGTTTGAGCAGAGTAGCATTTGGTCCTACTTAAATTCGATTTCGAAGATACCTTACTTAGGACAGCTAATCAGCCGTCCCAGTGATTGTCCGGGAGGTGAGTTTATTTTCTTCACCTTGTGTAGAGATTCAAAGTTCCAACCATGTGTTAATTCGTAACCCCTCCTTTATACACTCTGGTCGAAAGAGGCGGTTCCGGCAAGCTGGCACGCTTTCTGACCTCACTTTGGGCAGCAATTACTCACTGTGCAAAGTTATGAAAAACAATTATCTCTTATAACTTCTCAAATCACATCCCTCTCTTAACAAAAACACTTTCATCATTTTTCATATTACATGCACAACGCACTTTCCAAGTTACAGTTTTTCCTTTATAACATTTTTAATGACATCACAAAATAACAAACAAAATTATGCACTGCTCAAAAAATAAATAAACACTAAAATAACACATCCTAGATCTGAATGAATGAAATAATCTTATTAAATACTTTTTTCTTTACATAGTTGAATGTGCTGACAACAAAATCACACACAAATTATCAATGGAAATCAAATTTATCAACCCATGGAGGTCTGGATTTGGAGTTACACTCAAAATTAAAGTGGAAAACCACACTAAAGGCTGATCCAACTTTGATGTAATGTCCTTAAAACAAGTCAAAATGAGGCTCAGTAGTGTGTGTTGCCTCCACGTGCCTGTATGACCTCCCTACAACGCCTGGGCATGCTCCTGATGAGGTGGCGGATGGTCTCCTGAGGGATCTCCTCCCAGACCTGGACTAAAGCATCCGCCAACTCCTGGACAGTCTGTGGTGCAACGTGACGTTGGTGGATGGAGCGAGACATGATGTCCCAGATGTGCTCAATTGGATTCAGGTCTGGGGAACGGGCGGGCCAGTCTACAGCATCAATGCCTTCCTCTTGCAGGAACTGCTGACACACTCCAGCCACATGAGGTCTAGCAGTGTTTTGCATTAGGAGGAACCCAGGGCCAACCGCACCAGCATATGGTCTCACAAGGGGTCTGAGGATCTCATCTCGGTACCTAATGGCAGTCAGGCTACCTCTGGCGAGCACATGGAGGGCTGTGCGGCCCCCCCAAAGAAATGCCACCCCACACCATGACTGACCCACCGCCAAACCGGTCATGCTGGAGGATGTTGCAGGCAGCAGAACGTTCTCCACGGCGTCTCCAGACTCTGTCATGTCTGTCACATGTGCTCAGTGTGAACCTGCTTTCATCTGTGAAGAGCACAGGGCGCCAGTGGCGAATTTGCCAATCTTGGTGTTCTCTGGCAAATGCCAAACGTCCTGCACGGTGTTGGGCTGTAAGCACAACCCCCACCTGTGGACGTCGGGCCCTCATACCACCCTCATGGAGTCTGTTTCTGACCGTTTGAGCAGACACATGCACATTTGTGGCCTGCTGGAGGTCATTTTGCAGGGCTCTGGCAGTGCTCCTCCTGCTCCTCCTTGCACAAAGGCGGAGGTAGCGGTCCTGCTGCTGGGTTGTTGCCCTCCTACGGCCTCCTCCATGTCTCCTGATGTACTGGCCTGTCTCCTGGTAGCGCCTCCATGCTCTGGACACTACGCTGACAGACACAGCAAACCTTCTTGCCACAGCTCGCATTGATGTGCCATCCTGGATGAGCTGCACTACCTGAGCCACTTGTGTGGGTTGCAGACTCCGTCTCATGCTACCACTAGAGTGAAAGCACCGCCAGCATTCAAAAGTGACCAAAACATCAGCCAGGAAGCATAGGAACTGAGAAGTGGTCTGTGGTCACCACCTGCAGAACCACTCCTTTATTGGGGGTGTCTTGCTAATTGCCTATAATTTCCACCTGTTGTCTATTCCATTTGCACAACAGCATGCGAAATTTATTGTCAATCAGTGTTGCTTCCTAAGTGGACAGTTTGATTTCACAGAAGTGTGATTGACTTGGAGTTACATTGTGTTGTTTAAGTGTTCCCTTTATTTTTTTGAGCAGTGTATTAGTGTTCTATAGATCGCCTCTGACCATTCCCCACATTCTACGTTAGAAATACTGTTCCAGTATTCGATTTTGAATGTGTTAGAGTTTCAGTAGGGAAAAGTCTGTTGAAACAAAGACATTGCTTTTGTGAATCTTATCTTGAGGGAGAGCCTGGGCCTCCTCCCTTGATTTACAACATGACGTGAGTTGTTAATCACCACTAGTTCTTTCCTTCCCCCCTCTGCAGGTGAGAGGGGGTCTGATTGAAGTTATTAATTGCGAACCTGATCTGACCTATTTGGATTCTCGTGGACAGTCATGACACCCTTTAGTATACAAACAAGTGCAGGGGCAGTACATTTGAGTGGGAATGAAAGTTACAGATTGCAACTTTAATGGGTTCCTCTCACACCACTAGTGCACTTATTATGTGAGGTTGGCTGATCCATCCACTAGGGAAGTCTTATAATATATTTTCTTGTTTAAAATAAATGTCAGATTCAGAAACACTTTCACTTTAATGAATATAGGCAAGAATATGCCTAATATTTTTTTGCCAACATTTTGCATTCAAGTTACAATCTTCTTGCTATGGATCTACAAATGTGTTCCAACCTTGCCACCTCTCAATGTCAGTGTTTGTCCCTATATGTGCCCTAATTACTGTGATAGTTACTCTGAACTGATGAGCTGTCAAAGTACAGTGGTATTTACACCAGCACTGCATTTCAACTGAAATCTGGACTCAATTGGGGACATTGCAGTCACCCCCAGCTGGACATTGCAGTCACTCCCAGCTCTTCTTGTGAAATTTATGAAGAATTAGTGAAGTGATACGTAGATAAAGAAAACATTGTACACAATGAAATGTACAGCATCTGAATGCTTTGCTTTTGACTGTCCTACCTTTTCACCATAGCCATAGGCCTGCCTTGCCACGTGCCACCACATTGAGAGCAACAATAGCACCCCATCTCAAGTGCCGCGTCAGTAACACTTTCTCATCGTGCTGTCTCATTACTCACCAAAGACAATGATATTAATTAATGAAAAGTAGAGTACTGTAGTTAATAGAATTGTTATTAGGACATAATAGCACCTTTCACCAGGTATGATGCAGTAAACAAGGGGATATGTGTAGCAAACAACCACCATCAACTGTATGTCTGAGCAATTGGGAGCCTAAACTGAACAGTGATGGCAGACCAATCTACAACAAGCAGGTATTTTTCATGAACACACTATGAGGATTCCTCTATGCTGTGAATCTGTCATCTTGGGCAATAAAACATGTATAAAAGTGCATGTAAAAAG